GGGAAATATAAAGAGGAGCTCAAAAGAAGGTGGGGGCAAATTTTGAGAAATGGGAGAGAAAATACAAGAAAATGATGATAAATGGAGGAAGAATTAAGGGGAAAAGCCAAAAGATAATAGTAAATGACCAACAAGCAAAGAAATGATGAATTAATATAAAAGAAAGACTTAGAGATAATGGTTGGAAATGGAAAGGAGGGAGATTCCACATGAAGAGTTATATTTGTAGTAAATATAAATATAATAGATTTTGAGGAGTTGGGATTAAGAATTAGAACAAGAAGAAATAATCTTAATGTAATACTGATGAAAACAAGAATTTATAATAGATTAATCAAGTAAGATAGAAAAGTTTATGTAAGATATAAGTGATAAATAGTTAAGATATGAAAAGAAATGTTATGTGGAGCCTGACAGAATAGATTTAACCATATGGTAGGATAATATTTTTAATGAATTATATATGTTATTATTCATATATATAAGGTAATGAAGTAATAATAGCAATAGCAATAGCGTTTAGTCTTATATACCACTTTATAGTGCTTTACAACCCTCTCAAAGTGGTTTACAGAGTCAGCCTATTGCCCCCAACAATCTGGGTCCTCATTTTACCCACCTCGGAAGGATGGAAGGCAGTCAACCTTGAGCCTGGTTTGAATTTATTGGCTAAGAGAAAATACACTTGTGTAAAAATGAGATGTTAGAGGGAAGGGAATATTTAGAAAAAAAATATAATCAACTGTGGCAAATGTAATATTGTAGGAACATAATAGGGGACAATATAAATTAAGATGGAATTTTTGAATGCTTCAAGAATGGTATGAAATTGTAAACATTGAGCATACTAATACATGATTAAGGAAATTAGAGATTGATTAATATATTTGTAATGAATTAAATATCCTGTTATCCATTGGTAGAAGGTAATGAGATATATTGTTATAGATTTGAAGCGATAACTGTAAGATGAAATTTTGAATGATTAATGAAATGATATGAATGAATTAAGTTGTAAACGTAGAATATATGATTAAGGAAGATAGAGAATGAATAAAAATAAAGAGGCTGACACAAAGTAATTTATGAGAATATAAAGATGAAAAATGACAATAGATAATGAAGTGATGTTGGAAAGTTGTATTTGTGACTATGGATATGATTGATTCAAAATGTAAAAAATCTAGAACCACACTGTTCTCGCAAAGTTGTATTTAAATAATTAAAAAATAAACTTTTGGGGGGGAAAAACAATATTGCTTTCATTTGTTCTACTGCCAATTGTAACCCAGAATTTCTCTTTAGCATCGCCTAGTTCATTAATTTGGATCTTGAGAGAGAAAATGTATTTTAACATATGTGTAATTTATCCTGCCATCTTTAATGCTTCTGAAACAATTTGCTATTCAATGGTGGTCACTGAGAGAAAAGAACCAAGACAGTGTGCTAATATTCTGCTTTTAAGATTTTTCAAAATTTAGTAGATTTGTATGGCTCTCCATCTCATATAAATTTGACTCTTGTTAGTTAACACGATAAAAATATATCATAAAAAATTGCAAGAGATAACACAAAGACAAAAAGAAAATGCCCACTGAAGATAAATCAGTGGGTAGCAATGTCATACAAATCATGAGTCCAATCATCTCCCAACACCTCTGTGAAAAGTGAATTCTTAGGGGTTTTGCAGAAAGCCAACAGGGTTAAAACACATGTAATCTTGGGAGGAATGAGGTTCCAAAGTTTTCCTCATAGAAATTGGGTTGCAGTGAATGAACAGAATATGTTTATTTTATTTTCTTATGTTTATTTTTAAAAAGTCTGATCTTATAAATGGGTCATGGTTTTTATTTTGCATATTTCTATGCTTATCTAGAAATGTGAACATCTAATTGCCTGTGGGGATAATTCTGCACAGCAGGTTTAAACTACTTATCTCTCTTCCTATAAAGCTGCAAATGAAGCAGCCTAAGAAATCACTACCCAGATTTCTAGCTTTGGAAATGATGCTTGCCGGATTTCTCTCTGATGGTGATTACCATGGCCCCTATTTCTTTACACTTCCTGCTATGCTAGAAAAACAAGGGTTAGTTACTTTCATTTCTGTGAGCAGGTGAATATGTATGGTTTCCATATGTATGAGCAAACAATATATAGTGATCACAGAACAGGGGTGTCAAATTCGATTTCATTGAGGGCCACACCAGGGTTGTGTTTGACCTTGGGGGTCTAGGTTGGGCATGGCCAGGATGGGGGTGGCCAGCTCAACGTCACCCCTGTTGTGGGCGCATGTGGTGGCCCAAACACTCTGACAGTGAAAACAGGCTCCCAACCTCTGCGATAGCCTCCTGCAATCCTCTGCCAGTGAAAACGGAGCTTGGGAGGGCCTCCTGTGGTCCTTGCATGCTCCATTTTTGGCTGTGATAGCTTCCTGCAACCCTTCCAAGCTCCATTTTCACTGGCAGAGGCACCGCAGGCCAGTCTTTCACTGTTTCCAGGGCAGCCCCGCGGGCCAGATCTAAGCATCCTGCGGGCCGAATCTGACCCTCGAGCCTTGAGTTTGACACTCCTGTCATAGAATCATAGCAATATACTTGAAAAAGATCTTAGAAGAGGTCATCTGATCCAATCCTTTCCTTTCTCCCAACACTTTGCTTTGCAAGGCTTCTTAGGAGAGATTCAATAAATAAAAATGTTGCTGGTTCTAGAGGAAGTGGGAGGCACATTCACACTTGGAGAAAAGTAGGAGCAATTCATTCCATGCCAATGGTCAGAGTAGTTGTGGGCTTAACAGATAACAGATAATCAGAATTGGAAGGGACCTTGTAGGTCATCTAGTCCAACCCCCCACCCAAGTGGGAGACCCTACACCATTTCTGACAAATGGCAGTCCAATCTCTTCTTGAAAGTCTCAAGTGATGATGCTCCCAACAACTTCCGAGGGCAAGCTGTTCCACTGGTTGATTGTTCTCACTGTTAGAAAATTTCTCCTTATTTCCAGGTTAAATCTCTCCTTGTTCAGTTTCCATCCATTATTCCTTGTCTGGCCTACAGGCACTTTAGAAAATAGCTTGACACCCTCCTCTCTATCGCAGCCCTTCAAATATTGGAAGACCTCTATCATGTCTCACCTGGTCTTTCCCTTCACTAGACTAGCCATGCCCAGTTCCTGTAATCGTTCTTCATATGTTTTAGTCTCCAATCCCCTAATCATCCTGGTTGCTCTTCTCTGTACTTTTTCTAGAGTCTCAACATCTTTTTTATAATGTGGTGACCAAAACTGGATGCAGTACTCCAGGTGTGGTCTTACTGAGGCTTTATAGAGTGGTATTAGTACCTCCCTTGATCTTGATTGTATCCCTCTGTTAATACAATTTAGGATTGCATTAGCTTTTTTGGCTGCTGCTGCACACTGCTGGCTCATATTTAGCTGGTTGTCCACTAAGACTCCAAGATCCCTCTCACAGTTACTGCTATTGAGCCTGGTTTTACCCAGTCTATATGTGTCCTTTTGGTTTTTCTTGCCTAAGGGTAGGACTTTTCTTTTGTCTACATTGGATTTCATTTTGTTAGATACGGCCCAGTGTTCTAGTCTGTCAAGTTCCATCTGGATCTTGAGCCTATCTTCTTGGGTGTTAGCTATTCCTGCCAGCTTAGTATCATCTGCAAATTTGGTAAGTTCCCCTTCTATTCCCTCTTCTAAGTTGTTAATATTGAAGCGTACTGGGCCTAAGACAGAACCTTGTGGCACCCCACTGCTTACTTCCCTCTATGTAGACTTAAACCCATTAAGGACTACTCGTTGAATACAGTTTGTCAACCAGTTGCGAGTCCATCTGGTGGTGGTACTATCTATTCCAATTTTTTCTAGCTTACCAAGAAATAGGTTGTGGTTTACTCTGTCGAATGCCTTGCTGAAATCTAAATATATTATGTCCACAGTATTTCACTGGTTGTCCAATTTAGCCACTATGTTGAAGAATGAGTTTAACTTTTATTCCTGGTCTTTTACAGTTACATTTTTGATGGGTTGAGCTATAGTTTCTTTTACGTGAAGACCGATGCAAAGAATGAGTTAAGCAATTCTGCTTTCTCTCTGTTGCCTGATACTTCCTTGCCATCTTCTCTTTTTAGTGGACCAACTGTTTCCTTGATTTTTTTTCCTGTTATTTATATGTTGGAAGAAACTTTTTTTGTTATCTTTTACTTTTATTGCAAGTTTTTGTTCGTTCTGAGCCTTTGCTTTCCTGACTTCGTCTTTGCAGATTCTGGCTATCTGCTGATATTCTGCCTTAGTTGTATGTTCGTTCCTCTTTCCATTTTTTTGTACTTGTCCTTTTTTTCTTTCAATTTGCCAGAGAGATCTTTGTGCAACCATGCTGGTTTCTTCTTGGATTTCTTGTTTTTCTTTTTCAGTGGTATTGTGCTGGTCTGGGCTTCTATGATCGTACTTTTCAGAGTTTCCCAAGATTCTTGAGTTGTTTTCCCCTTTAGGATTTTCATCCATGGAATCTTTCCCAAATTCTCTCTGAGTTTATTAAAATCAGCTCTTTTAAAATCCAGGACTCCGGTGTCGTTATATTATATTGCTTGTGTTTGTGTTATGTTGAATTCTAGTATGACATGGTCACTCTCATCCAAGGTTCCTGCAGTTTCAACTCCCTCTATCACTTCTTCTCTGTTTGTAAGAATTCAACATCTATTTTTTCTGCTTGATTGGGTGGCCTATAATATACAACTATGGCCATGTCACTCTTTTTTTCTTTTATATTGACCCATATGCATTCTACATGGTGTTCATCTTTGTTTCATGCATTTCTGTAGCAATATAGTGGTCCTTTACATACAGTGCAACTCCACCTCTTTTATGGGGTCTGGTTTTTTTGAACAGTTTGTATCCTTCTACCAGTATGTTCCAATCATGGGTTTTATCCCACCAAGCTTCTGTTATTCCAACTTTATCATATCTGCCTTCATGCTTGCTTGCTTGTTTCTTTGCTGACTGTCCCATAAAAATGCATTCCTTCATACAGACACCTATGATTTTCCACCTCCTACCCTTTCTCATTTTTGCAACCTTCCTTTTCCCTCTACTAGCCTTCATCACCATCCTGTCATTCTGTCATTTCCTTGTTTTTAGATTATTTTCATAGAACCAATTTAGAAGGAAAACAAGGCCCACTGTTTTACTACTACCCCAGTATACTGATTCAAAGCAACTGACTAAGAACAAAAAGGAAAATTCATTGATTCAATAATGGAGTCAGTTAAAAAAGAAAAGCCCCCTCTTTCACCAGCACAAGGACATGTGACAGTTAACCAGAGGAGAGGGGAGCCTGCCATGGTACATATTTGCCAATTGGAGCAGAGATGCCACCTTGAAATGAGGTACAATAGTCACAATACGTAGCACTGCCTGCCTGTGCTAGTGGAGATCGAACAAAACGCCTGTTGGCATGGAGTAATGAAATATGAGTGGCAATTGGCTGCAGTGTTAGATTGAAAATGCCTATTCGTGTTGTTTGGAATTGTTAAATAGTTTCTGCTTATGCTAAAGACATGACAATGCTTATATTTCATAGCCTCCGTCTCCTCCTGCCTTCCTTTATTTTGTCTTTTTCTCTCTGTTTTACATCTGCAGAAAAACTGCTTAATATTTGAACTTGAAATCATCAGTGTTTCTATTGAGTGCATCTGAAAATCTTTGTAAAAGTAATTTTAAATCCTCTAACTGGATAGGAGCAATTAAAAATGGTATGAGGCATAGTTAGCATGAATTTATAAACATACAGAGTTAGATTTGAATTATGTTTACTTTTAAGAATTATCCTACGTATTAACAGAAGACTTCTGAATTTTAGATCTGCTGATGTAGGAGTCAGTCAAGTGACTAGACCTGGACAGCCCACACTCACTCGTATTCCACCTCCTATTCTGCCAAGGCCTTCACAACAGACTGGGAGCACTGCTCTGAGCACCTTCAGACCTGCATACGGCAGCTCTTTTTCTTCAGGCTATGGCACATATGGGAATTCTTTTTATGGAAATTACAGCCCATATAATTATGGATATGGTGGCTTGGGATACAGTCGTTTTCGAATGGATGATATTCCCACCAGTCGATTTGTTCAGCAAGCTGAGGAAAGCAGCCGGGGTGCATTTCAGTCCATTGAAAGCATAGTCCATGCCTTTGCCTCTGTTAGCATGATGATGGATGCTACATTTTCAGCTGTCTATAACAGTTTCCGAGCTGTATTGGATGTTGCCAATCACTTTTCCAGGCTCAAAATACATTTTACCAAGGTGTTTTCAGCCTTTGCATTAGTCAGAACTATAAGATATTTCTACAGATGGCTGCAGAGATTACTGGGTATGAGAAGGAGCTCAGAGAATGATGATTTGTGGGCAGAAAGCAAAGGAACTGTGGCCTGCATTCGTCCAGAAGATAAGGCAGCTAACTCTGCAAAATCCTGGCCCATCTTCCTATTCTTTGCTGTGGTTTTAGGCGGTCCCTACCTTATATGGAAGCTACTATCCACCTACAGTGATGATGAAACAGGTAAAGAAGATGTCGATTTGGTTTGAAATAGAAGCATTGTCTTCTGTCCTCTCCTATTTAAGCTGTGGAACATTAAGAATGAGCAGGGTTTGCAAACTGCTTCAAATCTTGTTTAAATTAGAAAACTGAATCAGTATGAAGACAGCTTTTAATGAGAAGTATAATTATTTTAATTTTATTTATTTACATTTTACATTTCTAAACCACCCATCTCCCTCAAAGAGGGGTTCTAGGTGGTGTGTGTGTCTGTGTGTATAATACATATATATATATATATATATGTTTTCTTAAGTTTTGTATGTATGAATTCATATGTATGAATACCATACATACATCAGCCTTAATCATTCATCTCCCTCATAGAGGGGCTCGGTTTAATTTAACATTTAATATTTTTACAAAATTTTTACAAATTAAAAAATTAAAATGTTAGAGTTAAAATTTTAGAATTTACAGTTTTTAAAGTTAGAAATGTTTTTAAGGATGCAAGAATAATTAAACACTATTAAAAATTATCTCTGTGTGTGTATAGGTGTACACACACAACTTTTTTTAATAGGGTTTAATTCTTGAATATATATGCATACACATATACATATATACAACAGTTCATACTCATGACCATTTTTCCCACTTATGACTGTTGCTGCATCCCATGTTCACATGATCAAAATTTAAACGTTTGGCAACTTAATCTCATGATGGTTCCAATGTCCCGGGGGTTGTGTGATCGATCCCCTTTTGCAACCTTCTGACAAGCAAAGTCAATGGGGAACCCAAATTCACTTAACAACCAGTTATTAACTTAACAATTGCAATGATTCAGTTAACTGTGGCAAGATAAATTGTAAAATGGGGCAAAACTCACTTAACCAGATAAATTTTGGGCCCAATTATGGTCATAAGTTGAGGGCTACCTCTGTGAATGTGTGTGTATGTGTGTGTAGGAACCAATTCATGCATTTATGAATAGTTAGTAGAATCTTGATGTCATGGAAGAAAGAACATAGGTAAAAGAGATTCAGTCATTGTGAATTACCTCAATAATTGCTGGGATATGTGGTTTCTTGATTTATTAAAATAATTATTTACAGCTTCACAGTTTAGGAATCACAAAGCATTTTAAAGAAGCTATCAAATCAAGTAAAATACAAACTGGGAGGGATTAAAAACATTTCCCCAAATAACAGAAAATGACCGGGAAAGGCCAAAATAAATTAATTTTTAAAAATTTATTTGTAGGACCTGGCCTAATATAGTGTATAACTATGAATAACCCAGACCTCAAGTGGTTTTTTTTTTTTTGCCTTCTGCAAAAGTTTTTCAGAAGTCAAATTGATTGCTGTAAATGTAGCTGCTTCCAAGATTTAAAAATAGGTGAACAAGATCAGGAATACTGAAGATCTGAACTATTTTAATAGATTTGTATAGATTTTGCAAGAAATTAAAAATATACTAAGTTTCATAGGCATAACTCCATGCATATTAAACTTTAATCTGTTTATTTATTTAATCTACATTCGGTTTTTCACAGAGGAATTTGAAGCCAGATTTCTATATTACTTGTTTGGACAACTTTGGGGAAAAAATGGAGTTTTGTTTTCTTTTAATATATATACTGTCAACATTAGCCAGGCATTGTGCAAATTTTACATTTCTAACTTTGTTCTATAAAACAGTTTCCAGTGACTGGGCCAGTGGAGAGGATGATCATGTTGTTGGGAGAGCAGAATATGACTTCAATGCTATTTCAGAAGAAGAAATTTCTTTCCGTGCAGGTGAAATGTTAAAATTGGCACCCAAAGGTGAGATAAATTTGTTTTAAAATTGTCCAACATTCTCAAATTTCTGAGCAGTGTATAGAAATGAAAACAGAAAAGATATTTATTTTGTGGGTCAATTGAACGGTTAATAAGAAATCAGAAGGAAACTTTATTTGATCTCATAGATGCAGAGGCACCTCCTTGCAAATATTCATCGATAAAGAAGGTCTTTGTTCACATATTTTCATAGAAATTTCTGGATTTGCACTATTAAGATTTGTTGACTGACTTAGCCAGTATATTGGAGGCTTGAAGTTATACAGGTAGTCCTTGATTTATGACCAGTAACTTAGCAACCATTCAAAATTATAGTGGACTTCCTCAGAACTATTTAAGACCCTGTTTCAAAGTTATGATGAGTGGGTGATGGCCATACGGTCATATTTTTGGCATTTGGATTTTCAGCAAAAACACTCATAAGGTACATTGGGTTTGCTTAATAATTGTCATGTGGCATAAAAGTAAAATTGAGTGCAGTCAACTGGTAACCCACAATTTATGGCTGTAATTCCAGTCTTAATTATGCTCATAAATTGAGGATTAGCTGTATATATTTGGGCCTCTCATTAATTTCCTAAGATCTCTTCCAGTCCACTCATTCTGTGCTCCTTCAATTACAACCCACAGTTCTACGAGTTTATATTATTCTTATATTAATATTTGATTGCCATCCAGCTTTATTTAGAACTAAATCCCATATTTTCAGTGGAATATTCACAGATAAACTTGTCTAAAAGGGTAGCTAAGGATGCCTTCGCATTTATTTTATTTTATTTTATTTGTTTGTTACCTTATCTCACCATGAGGTACTTCTGGGTGGCTTACAATGTTCACGTTAAGCAGTTTAATATCAGTTTATTTGTTATTGTATACTTATATAGTGGCCCATCTTGCAACTCTGGCCAACTAACACAACATTAAAAACTAACAGAATGAAAGAATAAATAATAACAAAACAAATGACACCTGAGAGATATCCATGTCCTTAGCAATTTATGAAATGTTAGCAAGATCAGAGCCAAATGATTTTTAAGGAGTATGATATTCCAAAGAACAGGCTGCAATATAGAAGACTGAAGACCCACAGCCTGGTCCCTCCCAGATAGTACTACTTAATGGATGGATCCCAGCGAGCTCCCCCCGCCCCAGCTATCCCCCACACCAGGTCTGTTGAGTCAGGCAGAAACAGTAGTTGAGAAAATGTGGTCCTGCAAATAACCATGAAAGATTTTATAAGCAGTAATCATTACCTATGAATAGATAAAGAGGCTTACTCTTGTGTAAGAGGCTTGGTTTGTGTAACAAGTGAGATTAGGTTAAAATATTGTTGGGTAATTAAAGATTTAATGTTGCTGTGAACTCAGAACTCTGCTTTTTTTAATTTGGCTGTGGGGTTGAGCATGTTGTGTGAAGCTAGCCATAGCATGTAACCTCAAGATGATACAAGCTGATGTGATACAAGATGATATAATCCAGGAGTCACGTCATTCTTTAAGCTCTATGAAATATCCATTCGGTATTGTGTAAATTCAGTCATAATTCACCAAGGGAGAGAAACCTGGAAGATAGAAGTACTATGGATGAACAGGACAGGAAACTGGGAATAAGTTCAGCTTTGCACTGCCCTCCAAAGAACAAGTTTATTGGTAGTACACCTTGATCTTCTGCTGTTGGATTTGTAGATGGCAAAAGTGGCAAGTCATAGTTCCATGCAGTTGTGCCTGGTAGACATGATTTACCAGCTATAGTCTCTATAGTCGGTTGACTGTTGTTCACCTTGATTATATCCCATTTTGACTTTGACAACATACAGGTAACCCTCGACGTATGACCACAGTTGAGCCCAACATTTATGTTGTTAAGTGAAACATTTTGTGACCTTTCTTGCCACAGATGTTAAGTGAATCACTGACATTGTTAAGTTAGGAGCATGGTTGTTAAGTGAATCTAGCTTCCTATTGACTTTGCTTGTCAGAAGATCACAGAAGAGGATCACATGACCTTGGGATACTGCAATGGTCATAAGTATGAATCGGTTCCCAAGCATCTGAATTTTGATTATGTGACCATGGGAATGCTCCAATGGTCATAAATGTGAAAAATGGTCACAAGTCACTTTTTTCAATCTCATTGTAACTTTGAACAGTCACTAAATGAATTGATGTAAGGACTATCTGTACTACCCTTGAAATGTGTTCAAAAATGATAATCTGTGTTAAATATGATAACTGGTATAAGTTACAGGGATTCTTGTAAGTTGCAGTGCTCTGGAAGTTCTGCACAGATCGCCAGTTTCTATGCTAACCCTTTAAAATGGGTTGGGGTTTGACTATCTAAAGGACCTTTACTCATAATAGAAATTAGGTTGTTGAGATATGTGAGTCCCTTTAAAAAATGTCTTGACTGTCCTATAATTTTGTTTAAACATTAATTTTGGCTAATTTAACTATTGCTAACCATAAACATTCTAAATATTTCTTCAAATAGGTTTTCATTGTAATTTGAAAAGCTTAGGAGAATTATATAAATCTAATTTAACCATCTTAAGTTCTCTAATACACTTTTTTTAGTTCACTGTCATTACATAAGAATTTTCTGGTAATAGCATGTTTTTTTTTTCTTATCAGAACGACAACCCAAGATACGTGGTTGGCTTTTAGCTAGCCGTGATGGTCAAACAACAGGACTCATACCAGCTAATTATGTCCGAGTACTTGGTAAAAGAAAAGGGAAAAAAACCTTAGAGATAGAGAAGATTGCAGAGCATCAATCCTCAATTAACAATACCTCTCTGGGTCAAGAAAGCACATCTGCTTGTTCTTTGGAGGAGCAAGAGGCTGCTTTTGAGTCTGTTTTTGTGGAAACAAACAAAACTCCTGTCAGATCAAACTCTCCTCCTCTTAGTGGAAGTAAAGAAGATTTTTGATGCTTGAAGATTTATGGCTACTGGACTGCATTCACCAATAATACTTTAGGGTAGACATTCAGTAGTAAGCAGCAAAATATAGTTATTGACAGTATCCAGGTACAGTGCTATTCTTATCTGGTAACATCAGTCATAGGGATGTTTGCCATTGGCTGTAAACCCTTTTAGGTTCATTGAACATCAGGCAGTTGGGTAAAATATGCTAAAGTCCATTGTGTGATTGCAAACATTGGTGACTGTAGGGTGAAAATATCATCTGATCTGAAGAAGCTGACATTAAGGCTTCAGATAGCTTTCTATCCTGAAGCCACTTTTGAAGTCTAAAGCAAGGGTCTTCAAACTTGACATCTTTAAGACTTATGGACTTCAACTTCCAGAATTCCTGTGTTAACATGACTGGAGGAGAAATTCTGGGAGATGAAGTCCACAAGTCTTAAAGGTGTCAAGTTTGAAGACCCCTGGTCTAAAGAATCTATTCCATATAGTAGCATTGTGGTGTATTGAGAAAAACTGTTTTCAGAGGTTTTGAGTATACCTTCTGTCTGTCATTTTTGTACATTTTTGTGAGATATAAGGAAAATCTCTGATTCAGGGAGATAGCTAGCAATAGGAAAACTTACAGGGTTGAAATTAATGTCTCCACAAGATAGAAACAAATATTTGTAATATTCTTAAAAAACAAGAAAAAAGTCCATCTAATTGTAGTTCTAGGATGTATACTGATAGATCCAGGGGGTGGGATCCTACTGGCATAACAACCGGTTCGGGGAATGCACGTATGTATGACAAACACGCGCCAAACGCGTGCCAAATGCACACGTGCACAACCAGCTCCGGTGAGCATTTACCTTCTCCAGCTGACAAACGGCACTCAGTTGTGCTGCGCAAAGCAGCTGAGGTAAAAGCATAGGAAAAAGGACAGCCTAGAGCCCAGGCGGGTGGGTGGGCCAAACAGTGAACCGGTTTGGTGTCAGCTGCTCTTCAGAGCTACCGGTTCTATAGAACTGGGCTGAACCAGTAGCATCCCACTCCTGGAAAGATCTCTTTTTATATGCTTCATTATGAAAACTGGGATTTTTTTTAAAAAAATTGCTTTATAACATTGTATTTGAAGCCTGATGTAATCCTCTTAATTTGGATTGGAAGTTACTTGTTATATGTTAAATGTCACTTGTTCTTCCAGATAAACTATGTAACAACTTCCCTTTATCTTTTTACTGAAACATGTTCTATGAAGAATACTTCAGAGGCTCAAGTTCATCATAAATTGGCAATATCTATGTGTTTTAAAGTTAATTACTCCTGTCACATGCAGTCTGAGCCTAATGATTGATAAAAAGGATAAATACATGTTTTTCTGTAGTTGGTTTCTTCACTTGCAAATGCCAACTATGTCATTTCACTTAACATTCTGCTTAGTAAATCTGTAGTAATTTTCTAGTAAGAATATATCTAAATTTTGTGAGGTGCTGCTTACAAAGCCAGATTGATATGAAGATGAAACTTCTGCTCATAAAAATCACATTAAATACTATACTGAGACATGCCATTTGCAATAGCCAGGATAAAAATCTAAGTTTATTCTGAAGAAGCCTTGATAAGTGATAAACTAACTTAAGGGTGAAATGTATTAGATGAAATATATAGATTTCTGAGTTGTGTAGTACTGATAACTTAAAATGTTTTGAACTTACATTGCAACAAAATTATACACTTTTTTTTTCTCTATCTTAGAATAAATTGATTTCCAAATTGAAAGATACAAATAGACATCCTTAATTTTAAATCAAAACTCTTCTATAGATATTTTATTTGCAGTTTTGCTACAAATCTTTTTTTAAGAATTCTAAACTGTTTTGCATCTTCAGGTAAATCACAGCACAAAACAAAGAGCTCAAATGAGAATACCTTACACGGAAATATTTTTTTCACCATAGCGTTTATGCTAAGTCAATTCGTTAAAGGCCTTAAAAATATTTTCTTTGATCCTTTTCATTTAGTGAAGAAGCAATGCAGTAATTTCTAATTAAAATACTTGAATTTATAATTTGATATGATTAGTAGCTGAAAGCCAGAAAAATGTAAAATTAGGATTAGACTGAAGGTAGGTCAGGTCCGGAATAATCATTTGCACTCATTTCTTTATTACTTACACGGTTATAGGTTTTCATGAAACACTGCAATGTAAATTGGTACAACACTTTTCCTCCAAAAATGTACTAGGAAATTTAAATAAAGATGTTGACATGGATCTACTACCTGAAATCAGTTTTTCTTGCCTACTGAAACTAACATCTGGTGGTGAAAAGGGTAGATTCCAGATTGTAACTGACCTTCAAATCAAGGTTTAAAATATTTGATTTTTCTGATACTTTACTATTATAAATGTGTTGAATTCTAATAAAAAGGATTATCCACTTTTAGTAAAACATTGAATAGTCTTGAATTTGATAGGTTTTACTTCTTGGGAAGTTTACTTGAATTTACAATAATCACTGTCATATGTGAATTTACTTTTGTATAGGCAGTTCTTTTAGCCACTGTTCGAAGTTTTGTTGTTGTTGCAGCACCCCTAAGATCACATGATCAGAATCCATGAACTTAGGAATGCAAGGACACTGCAACTACTTCCACCTAGCTATCTCCCACCACCTGGGCCCTTTTGGCTCCCTGCCACCTTGCACTCTACCCCAGCTCACCTTTTCCACCTTCTTGTTTCTGCTGCTGACAAGGCATATCTGGCCTAACTGCTGGGCTGCATGGACCTGGCTTCATGCAGTTTTTAAAAAAAGGCGGGGAGGGGAGTAGGGAGTGCAAAGCAGCTACTCCTTGAGTCGGAGTGCACCTTTTTGCTACAACTTTGGTCTATATGGGGCTGGCTTTGGACTGCAAAAAAAGGGGGGGAGGGGAAGAAAAGTGCAGGGTAGCCCAAAGGGCAGAGATGGGTGAATGGGGGGATGTTGGCAATTCCTTATCTTACTGAGGCTTGGGGATGGGAGGAACCAAGCCCAGAATGGCTTGGATTGGGGTGGGTCCTCAAATAATGACCGGTAACATTTGCTTAACAGCAAGAGGATAGCTGAGATTGCGATCACTAAGTGATATTAGTTACATGATGTCTTTTTTAATGACCACACTGCTTAAGAACCGAAATTCTAGTCCCAATTATGGCTGTAAATTGAGGGCTACCTATTTAACTAGCGAAGTAGCATATCTATGCATGTTAGTGTAAATCGTAACTTTGAACCATATTTGCTTTAGTGGAGCCAGAATGCAAATGTTTATAATGATTTAACATTTAGTGAAGATTTTATCATGCATTTGGAATAACTGTAAAATCTATTAAATTCCACTGAATTTTGAGTACAGCCTTGTTTTCTTTTAAGAAACTTACATTCAAGTAAAAGTGCAAGTAGGATATCGATTTGAAATAAAAATAAAACCAGTCTTACAGCTATGATATGTGCTACTATTGGTATTATATTCCACCCATCTTTTTATATTACACAGTATTGGTTGCTATAATTTACCATTTTTAAAACCCAAAAGGTAAGACACAAAATATATTCTGAAGATACATTTGTATCTTCTGATTTAGGTAAAATAAGGCTAATTATGCTAATGCATACTATAACATTTTGCATAAAACATATTATTAAATAGGTTATTTTAAAAGGTTAATGCTTGTTTTAGATATCAGCACATTTATTCTGATATTCAGGATCACTGGTTGTTCATTCTCATGTAGACATTATATGGAGGTTCCTGCCAAAGATACATTACAATATCAGTCCAGACTGTTTTGAGTTTCTTTTTACATAAACCTGCAAGTTTCCCTAGACTTTGACCATCTGAAGAGTTTGTCTATGAATGACATGAGCTTGTTTAGTAACTATTGGGGTCAGGCTTTCTCTGTTGCCTCCCTAGTTCTTAAGAATGTATTCCTGTCTAACATTTCATTTATATAGTGAATATAGCTTTATTCATTAATAGAAGCTAAAAGAGTTCCTTTACTAATTTTAGAAAGCCAGTACATAGCCCTTTATATAATATAAGTATTTTAATGTATACAGTACAATGGTACTTTGGTACTCCACTACTTTGAAACACACTAAATTTGGTATTCAACACATCTGATACAAAAAAAATTGTCCCAGTACTCATCATTTGTTTAGAACTCGATGCACAAGCTAGAACTTTGTGTCAGCTGTTTTGTGATTCACTACATGATTCTTATGGGAAAAATTTGTTTGGTATTCATTGTTTTTGGTACTCATCACACCTCCTGGAACCAATTAAAACTGAGCATGGAGGTTGCACTGTATACATTAGCCACATTTTAATAATTTGCTACAAAAATTATTATATTTAATGGAAGAAATAGTTCATTATATAAAGACTTCACATACAAGACCTAAGAGATTGTCTTTTTTCTAAGTCTGTACCCATCCAACCAGGTCAAATAGAATGGGCATGCTGCAGATCCTGTCAGCCAAAGAATGTCAGCTGTCAGGGACTAGAAGGTGAGCTTTTTTTTTTCCAGTGGCCCCTGCTCTGTGGAATATCCTCACTTCAGAGATTTGAATGGTCCAACCCTGTTAGCCTTTTGTAAACCTCTAAAAACCTGGATATGCTCCCGAGCCTGGAGTGCTACATCTACCAAGGATCCGTTACTTGACTATATTGTTAATGGGCCAAATACCTTGCTTTTACACATACTTCAAATTAAGTGTTTCAATGTTTCTTACTGTTTTAATGCTTTTAACTCTTTTTATTCTTTTAAAATGTTTTTAAAAATTTTAATTATAATATATGCTTTAAATTGTGAGCCGCCCAGACTTGTTTGCTGAGATGGGCAGCTATAGAAATCAAATCAAATAAATACATAAATAAAGTTATAAATATTTTAAAGGATGTGGTTATCTTGTTAAGTATACATATTACAAAAATCAGATAGTTTGTCTAACTCTAAAATTACACTTCAAGACAGAGAACAGGTTCATTCAAATGATCTGCTCTAGGATATATATGCTCATTTGCCATTCCAATAAAGACAAACCACCAAGTTATTTAAGTTTTTATTCGGAAATAGTTGCCGCTACTGCTAGACTTGCCTGTGTTGGAACTTATATCTCAAAAAAAAAAAAGCATTTTGGATAGCTGATTCCGAAATAAAATTCTAGTTTACATAATTGGAGTCAGTACCACTGTCACAATTTCTGGCTCTTGAATTAAAAAGAGAATAATATGCTTGTTCTAAATTCTTGCTGCTGCTTATTGTGGAACATTTAAAGCATTTTGAATTTTGTTCCTTATGAACAAAAAACACTCAGAACTTTGTAGCAGTATCCAATTAGTAGTTAGCCGAGTTATTACAAATAATGCTATTTTGTCCTAAATTTGGAAAAAAAATAGTTTTAAACACACCCATTTGCCCAAATGAACAATGTTATAAAACCTTTTTGTTAAAACAATATTTACATTTCAGCTTGCACTTTATTTTTGTGCAGTATTTAAAAACAATAATGTGCAAAAAGGTTTTTTTCTGAACAATACTAGCTAATTGTAAGATTACTGATTTTTTTTTAATAATGAAAAGTTTTAAAAATATTGTAACCTAACATTTAGTAAAATTTAAATTCATGCTGATAGTTTTAAGATATTTGATTTGAAAAAGGATTTTATGTGGAACTGAAATAAATGTTACATATTTAATATATAAATACTGTATACCACATGGATATTATTCTTTGTAAAAGGCTTACAAACATACATAAATAAGAGTCCCTCCCTCTTATCTACCATTGCAGATTGGTTTATTTCAGGGCAGATTTACTAATATGCTTGTGTATTCATGTGAACATATTTCTCATTAAACATCATTAAAAATGAACTGATATTTGTGCATATATTGGTTTCTTGGGCCTCTCACTGTAAATAAATAAGCACAATTCTATATACTGGTGTAGACTTTCACTGACAGTATCTGTAGGGCAGAGTTGGGTTTCTGGGTTTAGTGACAACCTTCAGATAAGGTGTTGTGCCAACTGAAGGTGTTGACCCCAGTTGCCAGTGAAATATCAGGAAATCTGTTGTCTAGAGAAGTCATGAAACCCTTCAGCCCAATACTGCTTAAAATAGTTTTGCTTGGGTAATCTGTGTATATAAAACTTTTCAGACACAATTATATGAGGTAAGCTTGTCTCCCATTCAATACCAAAATTAGAACATTCCAATAGTTTTATTCTGTGCTTTCTTCTAGCTGAAATGAGATGAATTTCATTTTGATAAAATGACAGGTCAGCACTTATTTGTCACAATTTACTTTTTGTCAGATTCCCTTCCAATTGACTGGAACTGATTTCCATTCTTGACTAAGATTTGGAAGCTGAATCTCAGCTTGATAGCCATGTCCACAAAAACTGCTCCAGGGAAACTGAAAAATAACTCAGGAATACTAAAGGCCTGCCTGAATTTTCTCAGTTTTTAATTTTGCTTGTATCATTATTTCATATTCAAAAACTGTTAATATAAAAACCCACTAGAATTGTTTGTGATAGAAAAGCTAATAAATTCCCAGCTACTTCATCGTATTGTAAAGTGATCCCAAAGCAGAAACAAGCATGAAGCTAAAAGCTTTATTTCTCAGTAGTTAGTATAAAACAAGGTAATTGCAAATAGATTGCCCTGCACACACAATAGTTTTAATGTGAGATGAAGATCTGCTCTCTACTTTTGAAAGAATCATTATCTTACTAACACTGAGTACTATCCACTCATCTGAAACTTAATTGGTGCATCCTCTGCTCTACATTCCATTTTGCTACTTGGAACAAGAAACACTGAGCATATGCAGAGTGCATTTCCCTTCAAGAGTTTCATAATCAGAACTATGTCTCACTCAAGCCAATTTAAACTAAAGTGAATTTTGGCAAATCTGTCACTGAAGTCTCAATAATCATAATCCCAAATTTGTCATATAAGAGCAGGTTAGTCAGGTGGAAAACATTTGGACAAGAAACAGTTGAAAGGAAGTCTGGATGGTCGTATATAAAAGTAAAATAGGCTTAATATTTTCTATTTATGGTTATATGCTTTCAGGCCTGTGTTTGCTCTTGGCTGTCACATATCCAGCTCGATAAGATTTCTAACTGAAGAAAATATTTACTTGCAAGGTAAATTTTAACTACCCATTAAAAAAGGCAGAGGTAAAATTTGTTAATTTCTAACTGCAAGGCCACATCCATTCATCTTGCATCTTGTTAACAATATGTTTAATGAAGGTTGGCCTGGGTTACATTAGCAGAACAAGTGCTACAGCAAAGATGGCATGTGGCACATGGCCGTCTACCTCTAATCTATGTTCTACGCCCTTTTCTAAATTGCTTTTCTTTACAATCAACCCCTCCCCATCATTCCTTCCTATTCCACGCTTCCATTTCCATTCAATCAGGGAGCGCCCTTACTGAAAAAAGAAATGATCCGGGCTGCAATTATAGGGCGCTGTCGCTTGTTGCTAGGCGACCAGACGCGCAAGGGCAGGGCGGAAGAAAGCGTGAGAGAAGCTCAAGCAGAGAAGGCCGCTGCACTGCGACAAAACCGACAAGGAGGAGGCGCGCGTGCGCCAGCCCTCCAGATTTGCAATAGGCTCGTTGGGACCCCGGGAAGGCGAGATATAGTGAGGTGAGGCGCGTGGATTGGCTAATTAGGATATGAATGACTGAATATTCCCCTGAATCGCTCTCTCTCTCTCTCTCTCTCTCTCAATCAGAAAAGGGCGGTATTAAAAGACCGAGCGGACTGTCAAAGGGCTAAGGAGGTTGGGAGAGCTGGTGGATGGGCGAGAGTGCGGGTGCGTGCTATAAAAATGGCACAATTCCGCTACTTCCCAATTTAATATAAATGACTCAGATGGAGCGGCAGTTTCTCTAATTCATTATGCATTTGATTGCATGCTTATCTTAGTGGTGATACTGTGAGTCTTTTGATTTCCAATGCTTTTTAATAGTAAAATTCCTAAAGAGGAAATGTTATGAAGCTTTTGTTAGAATTCAGTAAATGAATTCCTATAGGGATTTTAAAATATATACTGTATGTATATATTACATTTGGATGCATAGTCACCCAGATGTTTAGACAGGACTTGCCATTTTTATTCTGGGATAGGTAGATGTTGTTTTGAGCGTGTTAGAGGTACCGTCACAAGTACAGCTGCCCTTTGCAATTGATGGTAATTTTGTCAGTGCCAGTAGTGTTTAAGACTGCTCAAGATGTTTTGGGATTGAATCCAAAGCTATTGCCATTGGTACTTAGCTTTGCCTTCTTATTATTTACAATCCTGAGGGTTGAAAGTTGAAAAAATGTAAATGTTTGAGCAATATTTGTATTGCCTTGAATGTTTATGTGTACCTTGGAATGAAAATATAACTTCTTATGACGAAATGGGAAAAGTCTCAGGATTTGACGAGAGCGGGTGGCATATTTGCATTTGTGTGTTTGATATCGTGAGGAATGTAGAGGCTGGAAAGTTCTCTCCATTTTATGTGGATGAAGTGGTAGCTGCTGCTTTAGTGGGTTGGAGTGATTCAGACTTCCTTGCCTTCCACTGCATGAAGGGGTGTGGGGAGGATGAAGAGATAAAGATTCAGAGAATGAAAAAAAAATGCTGCCTGATAGCAAGGATGGATCAAGTTCAGTTGAGGATGCTGTATTCTCTAAACTTAGAATTGAACAGAGTGACTTGCTTGCTAAAAATGTGTGCTAAAGTTAAAACTGAGGTTCTGCCTCCACTCAATTTATAATGTACTTCTCTCTTACGTACTATAGTTGCTTAATTTTGTGCAATGCTTTCTCTATATCTTGAATTTACAGGATTGGTTTGCAAAGAACACTGACTCTTTTGAAGCATATTTCAGGTAATTGATACTATCTGTGCTCTTCCTAATATTGCACTTTTTGCATCTGTTTATGCAGTTGGGGATTAGGGGTGTCAGGAAATAAATGAAGGATGAGAACTTAAAGATATTCTAGATATTGGAAAGATGCTTCTTACAACTAAGTAGATACTGCAAGAACTGCAGGTAAGCCAAGTAAACTAGCTAAATAGTGATGTATAATATGGGAGGCTTCATTTTTCCAGCTTTTGAAAAAATGAAGCATCCTGAGAAAGATTTTTTGCTTTAAGCATATAGTGTTTTCTGCATTTATGTTTAGCATCACTAATCTAATTTAAAAGAAAAATAAACATTTTACAAGGTTTAATTTTTTATCATTTCCATGTTCAAATAAGGCTTAAATTGTTTGAGAGAGACTATATTTTTTCACAAAAGTACAGAACAATACTTAGATTGAGAGGAATTCCTGCCCTTAAAATGCACACAGAAAAGAAAACCTGTACTCTAAATAATTATGTGGCAGATGATCTCCAATTGCTTAGTTTTTTTAGTTTTAGTCAAATAGTTGGTCTGGGTGGGTGGTTTGTATTAGAGATGTTTACAGTGGCAATAGTGACAATATTCTGTACTATTAGCTTTTGATTTTGGTCCCCCTTGTAAAGGTTCTCTGCTCTCCAAAGATGCGCCACGGTGTAGCAAATCTTAACTAATTGCCTTTCCCAGCAACAGACTATTGTTTTGAGTCAACGCCCCCTTTCTAGAACTTTGCAAGTTGATTTGTACTTAAAGATGTCTTTAATACTCAGTCCTTTAATTCTTATTCTTATAATGTTCATTTCATAAAAAGTCTCATAGTCTTTAAAGTGACATATAACCTATGCTTTTTCCCAAAAAGTCTGTGCACTCATTGGGATGAAGTGTTCTTTTAGTATGGTTGGTCCTTTTCTAGTTGCTGTTGAGCCCAAGGTAGAACTCTTTAGTTTAGGCAGGATGCCCATAAGTATGTATGATGGTTGCTTGTGATTCTAGCAATTGAATGATAGTCCTCTTGCCTGCTTGTAATAGCTGTCTGGATGGGGTTAGGCTGCTTCTGTACTTCTGCACATCCTTGAAAATGCCAAGGTGTGGCTCAGTTATCACAGGTGGCTTGGATGCCTTTGAGTAAATATATGAGTGAATGTCTGAATGCATGAAGGAAGTGAGGAGGGGAAGCTTGTCTCTATGACTGCAGCTAATTCTGAAAAGAACGTATATGAAGCCCAACATTATTTCTTTGCATTCTTCTTTAAATAATTTGTTAATTGTTTTGTTCCTATATGTGGCTGAATTTTCTCCAATGTTAGTAAACTGAAGGCACAAAAACTTTTTGAATGTTTATATTTTATTAATGTTTAATGTCTTTTATTATCAGTGTTCTCTTTCTAAGTATTTTTTAAAACTTGCATGCTAACAGAGAACCTGCTTTAGTAATATAGATATGGTATATCATTTAAAATGTGTACTGCTAAAATTCATGGATTGGGTAGTAAACTCCTGTTATCTGATTTACTTCCACAGTAATTCAACTATCTGATAACCTGCTGCTATAGTAATATCAGATTTAATACATATTTTACTTTTTTGTATTCATATTGTAGCCTTTAGTATACATATCAGCCTGATATGGCAGGATTGGGATGGGTTGGAATAGGAAGTAATAATGTGATGGGACAATCCTCAGCTCTCCATGATGGTACTAATGGACACTGATGTTCCTATGTTCACCCTGTTGGCAATAGATACTTAATTAGTTTTGGATGCATTTTTATCCAAAGAAAGCTTGTCTCTCCTTACAGGTTTACATAATAGCTACTATATAATTCAGCAAACCAAAATTCTTTAAACAGTATGAGAATTTTTTAATTTTCATGTCTTTTCCAGTGCCAAAAAATGAACCGCGGATATATAGAAAATAATAATGTCCCACATGATAATAATCAAATGGTTTTGGATATGATTCTTTGTTCTTTAATTGGAGTTCCTCAACCTATCAACTGGGAAAATGTGGCAAGACTGGTTCCAGGGTATTCATCCAAAGAGGTAGGCTTTTTTTTCCTTCTCCCAACTTTTAACAGAAAAATTATTTCTAAACAAGTTCAAATTGGAAATGTTGCTTACTTAATTCCTATGTATATTATAAATATGTTGTAAATTCAGTGTTTGTACATAAATTCTCCAAAGAGCAAAATTTTAACAACTGCTGCTGGAACTGCAGTTTAAGACAAGAGAGGAAAAATATTTATTTTTTGCAGTTCAGGGTATGTTTAATATTGTCAAGAGTTGTGTGAGATGGGTGGCTATACAATTTTTATTAATAAATAAAATACTGTAAACCTTTTTCAGCTAATAGAAGTATACAATCATTTACATTAGAAGCAGAAATAGATTAAACCAAAATTACAGTCAAGCTGAACTCTGTGCCCAAGCCTCTTGTCACCTTAATAATACATTCATTCAAATATATATAAATATAAAACTAAGAGTGGGGCAAAATGACTAAGAGTGGGGGAAAAACAGTGGGAGTAGGAACAACTTCTGATTTCCTGCTGACCTCCAGTGAATTTCCATACAGGAATCTTGCATCCCTCCCTCCCTCCCTTCCTTCCTGGCAGGAAATTACCTGCTGCTGGGTAAGAAGACGGAACAAGGGATTGTGAGATTGGCTGGGAAACTGTCATGAAATGTTGAAAAAGAAAACCATATGACTACAGCAACAACCCCAAATTTCACATGAAAGCAGCACTCCAATCCTACCTCAGGTACCTATTTTCAGGCACTCAGCAGCTCCCTAAAGGCAAACCTCTAACTCCATCCAATCCATCAGTCAAGTTCTTGCCATGCTTTGCAGCACCTTTGCAGTCCAGAACCATACCCAGACTGACTTTTGACTACTGTTGGTAGATCACACTTTTGGCTACTGGGGATTTTGGAGAAATTCATGTGGAAGGAGATGACTCAGTCGATATTTGATAGCTGATTTTCAAGAAGCCTTTGACCAAATTCCTTATGAAATACTTTTGAGTAAACTTAGTGGAAATGAAATATCAGATACTATCATGTTATGGATTCTAACTTGCTAAATAAAAAAAAAACCCTTGTATGAATATTAGTAGAGCAAAGTAAGAAATGAAGACCCTCAAGGATCTTTGTTGTGATGGGAGCTTTTCAACTTATTCATAAGTGATCTTGATTTAGGGAAAAACAGTGAGCTAGCTAAGTTTGCAGGTGATACAAAGCCAATCTATTCTGGGTGATAAAAAACAAAAAGTGATTTATTTTATTTTATTTTGTCAAACATGTATTAGATAACAGGTATAAGTATAAACATGATTATGAATATAGGAAATAGGGACGAATAAATGGGGATAATAGGACAGGGACGGTAGACACATTGGTGCAGTTATGCACGCCCCTTACAGACCTCTTAGGAATGGGGTGAGGTCAGTAGACAGTCTAAGGTTAAAGTTTTTGGGGTTTGGGGAAGAAACCACAGAGTCAGGTAGAGTATTCCAGACATTGACCACTCTGTTGCTGAAGTCATATTTCCTGAATCGAGTTTGGTGCAGTTTACCTTGAGTTTGCATCTATTATGTGCTCGTGTATTTGTGTGATTGTGAAGAACTCCAGAAGGAAGTCTTTAAAATGGCTAAATGGCCAAGCAAATGACAAATTGAATTCAAGTAAGTATAGAGGGATTGTTAGGGCAACTTCTCATCCAAGTGCATATATACACTGATGGAACCTAAACTGTCTGCAACCACTCAGGAAAAAGAACTTATGGCCTTAACGGGTAAGTGAAAAATGCAAATTCCCTACAAAGAATCCTTGTGAAACTAAACTATCCATGTTGTAAACAGAAGAAGAAAATATTCAGAAGAAGGCAAGTAAAATGATACGAGGGCTTAATCTTTTTTAGGAGAACACCTTTGGGCCTTTAGTTTAAAATACAGGCAGCTGAAGAAGAACATAATTTATGAGCTTGATAATTAAAAAGGTAGAATATGGAAACAAGGTAGTCATGGAATAAGTGCAAAGCAGGGATCTCCAATTCCCAATACATGGACCAGCACTGGATCATGGCATGCCAGCAATGGATCTGAGCAAACAAGCAAAGCGCTATCCACCATATGCAGGCAGCACACAAACACATATCCCCTCCGGTCCATGGAATAATCTATCTCCACAGAACCAGTCCAGTGGTGGGATTCAATTTTTTCTTACTATCGGTTCTGTGGTGTGTCTTGGTAGGCATGGCAGGGGAAGGTTACTGCAAAAATCCCATTCCCACCCTGCTAATCTGCATTCTAGCTCTGTTCTCCTGTGCAGGGCAACAAAAGAAGACCCAGCCGATCATCTTGGGAGGCAGAAAATAGATGGGGGCGGGGCCAGTCAGAGGTGGTATTTGTCGGTTCTCCGAACTACTCAAAGTTCTGCTACTGGTTCTCTAGAACTGGTCAGAACCTGCTGAATACCACCTCTGAACCAGTCCCTAGTGCCCCAAAAGTTGGGGGCTTCTGGTATAAAGAGAGAATGCAGTACACATTATAACTGCTGTAAAAAACATTAGAAGGTACATCTTTTTCCCTTTTTCTTTTTTTAAAAAAAATTCTATTTAATTGTCACTTCTTTAACTTTCTTTTCTTTTTTCCTTTAAATTTCTATTGTTTTTACTTCACCAAGAGCTTATTTTATAAAAATTAATTTAAAAAAGAATGATAATTGAGTATATAAAATCATAAACTGCATAAAAACACATATAGGGAGTAATTTTTTCCCCTCTCTCAGAATATTAAGATCAGGAATTATCTAATAAATGTTTATTGAAAGAAAATTGGACCAGGAAAAAAAATAACTTTTTTTCCTTAGGATATTTAACCAATAAAATTCTTTGCCACAAGATAAATCACCCTAATTTACATACATTTAAAAGATTGAATAAATTCATGGAAAAACATTTATAAACTGTTTTTTTTTCCTTTGAAAATTTTATTATATCTAGGTTGAGTCTCTAATAGGGCATATCCAACCTCTGATCTATGGGCCACATGCAGTCCCAGACAGCAGATAGTAAAAATATTTTTTTAAAGGCAGTTTGTTATTTATAGACGTTAATTATATTATAACTGTATATAGTCCAAGACAATTCCTCTTCATTCATTGTGGCTTAGGCAAGTCAAAAGGTTGGACAACCATGCTCTAGATCAGGCGTCTTTAAACTTTAATAGCTTTAAGACTTGTGGACTTCAGCTTCCAGAATTCCTCTTCCAGTCATCTTAGCTCAGAAATTCTGGCAGTTGAAGTCCACAAGTCTTAAAGCTGTTAAGTTTGAAGACCCTTGCTCTAGATATTAGTTAGAGCAGAACAGTAACAGTTTCCATTCCTGGCTTGAGATTACCTCAGAAGCATCTGATTTTAAAAAACAAAAGAGGATGGATGTTGGCCTGGTTCAGGGGATTTCTAATATGTTATTAATTATTGGTCAGCTCTCAGAATCCTAGGCAAGATAAGATGTCCAACTAAATATACTTTGCTATATTTTGACAGTGTGCAAAAAGGTTTGATGAGCTGAAAAGCAATGGAAGTTCTCCCGTGGATAACCAGTTCAATCCACTAATGGCCAGTGGTGCGAAACCTGTGGAAACACTAGCTGGTTATATTAAATCATCGCTACTTGATACTCAGGATGAGTTACAAGAACCCTCTGGTGAAAATGATGCAATTTCTTTAAATGGTAGGCTTTAATCCCTTCTGTTGTTGTGTTTATAGAATTATGCATGTTAGTTTTCTCCTGTTGATATATCGTTTGCTTTTGCCAATCTATATATCAACTATATCACTGTTCAGATTGAACTAGAATGGATTTTTAAAATTAATGTTGGATTTCTTAAAATGTATATCCATTTTCTACCAAAAATTTTGTAGCTTTAAAAAAAAAAACTTGACTTCTTGGGTAACTACCCTTAAAATTAGTTAAAACAATTAGACCTCTAAAGTATATCATACTTCTGTTCTGGGCAGAACCATACAATTTATTTATTATAGGCTGAAGTTATTTTGCTTTATGAAACTTGTATGAACCAAGCTGTAATTAACCCTTTATCAGCATTTTTTAAAAATGGTGCTTTCCAGGAATGTTGCCAACCAATTTATAGTCTATAAACCAAGGAAAGCTGTATAAACCATACAAGGAACCTACCAAAATTTAAGGCGTATATAGTAGGTGTGTAATATACATGTAGGCCTTGATTTAGGATTGCAGTAGGGAACAGAAAATTAATCATTAAACAGTGCAGTTAAGTAAGGCATCATGTGACCACACCCAATTTTATTGTTTGCTCAGAAATCATGTGAGACTGACTGGTGACATCCTGCTGGCTTCCCCATTGAATCTGCTTGTCAGAAACTGTCTGAGAAGATTGCAAATGGCAATCACGTTACTACAGGATTCTGCAACTGTTGTACATGTGAATTAGTTGCCAAGTGTCCAGATCATGAATACGGGATCACAGGGATGCTGCAATGGTTTGAGTGCAAGGAACAGCCCTAAGTCACTTTTTCAACTCCATTGCAACTTCAAACAGTTGCTAAACAAATGGTAATTAAATGACTACTACCTGTAGTACAATGCTTGGAGTTTGAAGACAAGCTTTCAGATGTTCTTAGGGATGGCTGAGAAAAGCAGTTGAGAGTGATACCATTGCTACTCAAGATAATACTAGGTGCTAAGCATTATGCAAGCTGCTCAGAGACCATGTCAAAAATACTGTAGTTGAATATGGTGGTGTATATATCTCACGATGAAGTCTTACACAGAATAGCATTTGCATAGGTCTAGGAAAATAAGACACAACTAGAGAGCAGAATGAGTGAGGGAAACTGTGCAAGAGAAAACAACATAAAATATGAAGGAGACAAACAAGCATGTTCTATAAACAATTGTGTGTGATGAGACAGTGAAAACTGACAAAACAAAGATTCTGCATAAGAATTATGTGGTAAACTTATTTCCTGAAACCTGCTGATTTATGTGAGAAGGAAAGAGCCTGAAAATTAGAATTTACAAGCCAAAAACTAACTATCTATTTAGGATATTAAAATCGAGACAAATCTGTGATACAAATAACATAGATGAAGAGTTTCCCTCTTGGTGTTGGGTGCTGTTCTTTTCAGGGATTTGTTTTATATATAACTTACTGGGAATCTACAGCAATCCTTTTTACCTGTCCTAGTGAAAATCAGAGATTTAGAATTATCATTTCTTTTTAATTAGAAGCACTATGTTAAATAAGAAAAATGCAGGCACACTCCAGTGGATTTTTTTTTAATGTTCCTTTGTATTTTAGCAAGGAATTGGCAAAGAAGGAAGTATTTGACAAGGGCAGAGATAACTGCCACTATTATGTTATGCATAGTTCAGAAGAGGTATGTTTGTTTAAGCACATTTGCACTTACTCTCCCATAAAGCATATTAGACAACATGTACTATATAGTGGTACATAGAGTTATACTGGTTTTCCTTCTCTCTTGCAAGTTAAAATAAACTCTGAGATTAAAAAGATTTGCTTCTTTACTTCTCTTCTATTTGGATTGTATCAATTTTAAAAAAACCCTTCAGAAAATATATTAAAAGTATTCATTTAAATTTGAAATAATGATTGCATCATTCCTTTAACTAAGGAACACAGCCTACCACATATGAGAAGTACACATCTCAACATTATGACCTAATGCTTTTTCTCCCCACTTGTATTTAAGGAAAGTCAAGTATAGCTTCCTCAAGGAATTGCTCTTCAGAAAGTGAAAAATGCCCTGCACTTAAAGGTGGAGAAAATGCTGATGAAACTGAAGGGTAGGAAGATGGCTGTTTCATTTTAAACAGCTAGATTAACCTTAGTCTTTTTGCTGGGTACTTACATACTTCTCTACATTCTGTGGAATTTCAGAGGGTGGGATTGGGTTTTCTGTGGGGAGCATTATATTGGCTCGCTAAGGGGAAAAAAGCATTCAAAATATGTGTTCCTTGTGAAAAATATGTTCAGGTCTAAAAATATTACAGATATGACAGTATCGTAGCCTATCCAATTAATTTCAGTTTTGAAAATATTCTCATTCTGGATCCCTTAATATTCACATAATTATGTGTTTTATAGTTTAGTAAAACAGTATTAGATTATAGCTGGGAAATAGAATTGGAGAAGTAAATGTTTAGCCCAGGGTGACAGGAGTACTGTTTCTCTGGATCATCTTGGCAAATTGAATTATGGGATTCCTGTGTGTCATTTTTCAATAAGGGAAGTTTCAGTTGTGAAAAGACTCTTGCTCTCGATTCCACAGTGAACTTGAAAAGTATCAGTACCAGCTTTCTCTTTCATCTTTATTTAGTGAGTCTTTGAAAGTTTGCACACTAAGCTTTTTCTTCAAAACTCAGTTTTCTCAAGGAGTCAATGTACTGAAGTTGCCAACAGATTCATAGCAAGCTTCTCTTTGCTTGTATACAGATTTTATCTAAGAGGAAATATCGAAAAATGGTCTGCAGTATTTAGGAGTTCTGTGACAAATTATCTAGGGAGGAAAAAACCCTTTATCATTGTGTTTGTAAAAGGCAAACAGCTCTCATAAGCCTTGGAACCTTTCCTTATAACCAAATGAGTTCTGCTAGGAGTGAAAGTGACATTCATTGCCTGCCAGGTCTTCTTCATTCATTTGCACAGAGGATGAAACTTTACACAAAGTATTTTTTTCCTATGCAAACGTACCTTTCTTTTCTTCTTTCTCTTCTGCTTTTCACACTTCAGTATCAATTAAAAAAATTCTGTATATAGGAATTACTTTAAAAATCATATTGTAATTAGAGTAGATAAGCAAGATAACTTTACCTTGATGTAATTTTATTTATTTTTTTAACATGTTTGTAATTAATAAAGGACTAAAAGCAGCAATTTGTTGTGCTTTTTGCCTTCAGAAGACAGTCTTCAATGGAATCTAATAATTGAGCTAGTTGTTAACCCTGTTGGATTAGAATTATGTGAACCTAGATTCAAATTCCTACTCAGCAATAAAGCTCCATGGATGCATTTGAGACAAACAATATTTTGGCATAATTAATATTACTGGGCTGTGATCAGAATAAAATTGGAATGAAGAAGAACTATGTATGTTGTCTTGAATTTTTGAAGGAAATGAATAGTTAGCATAAAAATATGTCCAGTAATAGACAAAATGAAAATCCAAACTACACACCTGATTCCATTTTATTAATTTAGTTAGTTGGTTAGTTAGCGTGGCTGCCCATTTCAACAAGTAATTGTGGGCAATAAAATTAAAAAGAAAATAAGAATAATTACAAGAATACAAGAATTAAAATACATAGTGGCTAAGAATAAATCAAACATAATTACTAAAGTAACCAAAAATCAGGTCCCTGAGGTCCTTGGGGTTCTGGCCTGGACATGGAGCCACATTTTTAAGGATCTTTAAAGAAAAGCCAGTAAGGCTGGGGCCATCCTGATCTCTAGAGGGAAAATGTAATATAAAGCAGGGATTATGAACAGAAATAAAATCACCTTCTTGGCCTTGACAACTGGCATTCCTTGACCCAAGCATGTCCATCCTACCTGACTTTTCCAAATGCTGTTTAAGTTTTGCTTGTAGCAGATCCTTGATAGTTCTTAAGAGCAGCTCAGTGAACTACTAGTAATGAATGCAACTGAGTTTAGATATTTCTGTTTGGGCAAAAGATTTGTATGTGAATAACAGGTCTGCCTGCATTATCTGCTATTGTGTCTTGAGACACACAGAACATAAGTAAATTAAGCATGTTCATAAATGTTTCACTTTGCTTAATTTTACTCTGGAGAAATAGAAAGAAGCTATACTGGTCTGTTTCCCAATAATGATGTATTTTACCCATCTCCATAATGATGAGGAATTATTTTATTGCTTCTTATCAAACATAGCTACAGTGTGCTTTAAGTGCATGTTTACCCAGCTCATGGTCAACTAAGCCAATTATATTGTAGTATTCAATTATCCTTTTCCTACTTTACTGTTCCTTAACTTTTTTCATACATTAAAACATTATAATTTGAAAATCCATGTTTTTTTGTCTCATGAAAGTATTATACAAACAATTAACATGCACATCTACAAATGACATTTCCGTAATAGTAACATTGTACCTAAATTTAAAATTGAACAATATTTTTCACAAATTATTCTAATATTCCAGCTAATGAAAGTAATATTCCTCCCTATGATTTTTCCCTCTTAAATAAAGGCCAAATATGGTGATCCATGTGTGTGATGAAGCAAAAAATCTGAAGGAAGATTTTGTTTGTCCACGAGATCTATTAATTTCTGAAATGAAGTACTTTGCCGAATATCTATCAATGGATGCCCAACGCTGGGAAGAAGTGGACATTTCAGTTCACTGTGACGTTCACATCTTTAACTGGTTGATAAGATATGTTAAAAGGAACACTAAGGAATATGAGGTTGATGAAATACCCACCTTAGGTAAAAGAAAATATATTTTTCATTTTTGCCACACATTTTTTGAAAACCTGTATCAGACTAAAGGTCTGATTGCAAAAATGGCTTTGAAAGGTGATTTTCCTTTCCTGTTCTGTTTTTGATGATGAAAGCCTAATCTACACTAATAGGGAAAGCTGAAATAAGATATAAAGTTTAATGGGATTCATGTCTTACAAAATGAGTATGGTACACAATCTAATTTGATTAAGAATTTGGGGATTCCCATTTAACCTCCTTCATTCTCATACATAGATTCACCTTTTGCTTTTGAGAAATAATTATGGCCCCATTATTTTGCACTCTGTATACAGAAACCACCCAATCAAATTTGGGATCTGAATATCCAGAAATGTGGTAATGACTTGATGTTTTCTGGTTTACTCCATAGCTAATCTAATCTAAATTAGTGCATGGATTTAATGCAGATTTTAGGGATGAAGGATATCAAAGTTATTGAAAATGGGTGCAGAGCTTTCTAAGTACCCTACTTTAAAGTCTGATTTCTCAAGGTTACTACTAATAACCTTTTCTAAGACAGAATGTGAAAAATTGATAACAACAGCCTCAGTGATGAAAAATATCTTCACCTATTTTAGGAGAGAGAAAGTTTATGTGTGTGTGTGTGTGTGTGTAAAAGATAAATAGTGCTAGGGAAGGATAACAAGGGGTCCTTGCTGCTCTCTGAGCTTGATTATTTCCTTGCAGTCATTTCATTACCAAACTAGGTAACATCATCAGTGTTAGTTAGAGAGTGGGGTTTGCTCTCTTTTTTATATACTAGTGGTTTGTCCTGTTAGTGTTGTAGGGATGGTTTTGGTGGTTCCTTGATTGGGTAGAATGCTCTTGATACCATCAATCAAGATTAATTCCAGGAGAAATCAATAGAAGATTTAAGTATACACTCAGCTTTCCCTTCACTGAAATTCATGGTATTAATATATCTATGTGATTCTGACTAAAACAAACAATGTTTAGCACTTCAGCATTTTTTCTTTAAAAAAAATATTGTTCAAGTAGTTGTTAGTTCTCACTTATATTCTGTATAGCACATATTAAAGTTTGCATAGTATAGTAAATGCAGTATATTTATTTAATTGAAACTAGAGGTAGGCGATAGAAGGGGACATACTATCCACAGGCCCCATTTTTCCTTGGTTTCTCACATCTTGTAACATTGCACTACGATTTTTTGGGAGGAGTATTCTAACCTTTAAAATTTATATATATATATATTTAAATATATATATATATATATATATATTCATATTCTAAGCTTAAAAACCATTTTGTCAAATAAAAACCTAAAACCCCAACAACAGTTCCCACCTCCATTCCTTAAACAGAATGAACAAATGAACAATTATAGTTCTGATCCTTTAGATCAGGGGTCTCCAATCTTGGCAACTTTAAGACTTGTGGATCAAAGCTGGCTGAGGAATTCTGGGAGTTGAAATTCACAAGCCTTAAAGTTGCCAAGGTTGGTGACCCTGCTTTAGATGATCTCACCAGGTCATTCCCATGGCTCTCCAGGGTTTTGTGATCATCATGATCATCTGTAAGAGTTCCGGCTATATAAAGATTGCCCACGCCCAGTTTAAAATCAGCTCTTTCCTTTCTTTACTGCATATAAAGGAGAAAGCACAACTATTTTTAGATCATGAAGGTGGAAAGTTTCTGGGGTGGAAAATAATAGGCTAGGACTAGGTTTGCAATGCTAGTATGGAAATTACTGGTATTTGTGGGAAATTGGGATTTCCGTAATATTGCTTTGTTTTCAAATGTGATTTTGATCTAGCTTTATATCTGATCTAAAGTGCAAACATTTTAAAAAACTGAGTGTGCTCTCATACTGTCTAATTTATAAGGGACTGAAATTAGATATATTGAAACTTGAAATTGGTCTTTTGTTCAACTCAGCTTTCAATATTGAGAGCCCATTCCTCTCTGAAAACAAAAAAAGAGATTTTTTTTGTCTTAAAAAAAAAGAGATCAATAGCTTGAAACTCAAAATTCTTCACTGTAAATGTGTTTGTATAACACATTTAAAATATCAGAATATAAATGCTGAATCCTGGTTTGAGATAGTTACTTTCTTTCTTTAGTTTCTTCATGTTGCTTTGTCATAATAATGTGAACTGTAAAACCCTATCTTATTATTTCTGACTGCATGTTAGGATAAAAATTGGAAGCAAATAATGATTTAACATTAAATTATTAAGCAATTTAATTATTTAGATATAAGGTGTAAGTAAAATTGAAAATTCTAAATTATACGAGGATAATCCAAGGTCATGGTAGTTGATAACAACTACCAAAACAAAATTTCCAGACTTTCTCTTATTCCAATTTTATAGAATGTGGATTTTCTGAAGCAAAACATCTTTTACAATGTTTCCTTTGATTTTAACTATCTTGCAATATTTATAAATCTAATAACTTTTCAATTTGTTATCTTGTTTTTTTTTTTAGAACCAAGCAATGTCATTTCAATACTTATTTCCTCTGAATTCCTGAAGATGGATTCTTTAGTGAGTACACTATAGCAATAAGCGTTCTGTATCTTTGGAGCTCTAAATTTATCTAGAATGAGAACAGGCAGCTCACAGAGCTGACCTGTGTGGTCTGGCATCCCATTCTATTTATTATTTCATTACAGTTCTGAGAGCTACCCAGGAAAATGATCAGCTTTATAAATCTTTTAAATAAATAAACAAATAACATAATAAACAATAAACAAATAAATAAACAAATAACAAACAAATAAATAAATAAATAAATGCAGTGGTTTTGCAAGTATTTTATCTCTGTGGTATTTGAATGTTATAATCATTCCAGAGATTATGGTCATATATTGTAGATACTGGTTTACTTTGCTAATGGCTACAAATTGTTTATAATTATCTTCTTTTTTCTTCATATCTTATTTTTAAAAAAACTTAAATCCTTTTATTCCAAATCAAATGATATTTAGTATTAAAAATGCCTCATGTTGTCTTTTGTGGAGAAAATCTATATGATTGCTAAGAAGTAACACCAGCTTGATGGTACACAATTAATTCATCTGGCTTAAGCAAGAAGCTTAATTTAACATTTAATCTTTCTTCATGGGTCTCTCTGTGATATTTCCTAAAGCAGGAACTGCAGAAGTTTATAGAATCTTTAAAAAGATTGTGATTTGCCTTAATTTCTAAGCTCTTAGAAAATGTAGACTGTATTTTCCAAATATTTACTAAGCAAACATGATAATATAGTAATTCTTTATATACATCTCCCTATCTTTCAATATTGTTGTGTTTTTACTTACAAATTTATAATTAGAGTTATTTGAATAAGGTGCTTACAAACTAGTTTAGATTTGGAGTTGGGACTTGTTACTATCCAAAATAATAGCTTCATGTCTGTTGAAATGCTGTAAAAAAAATAAGGCTATATGATGTCTAATTATATGCAAGTTATCATCAAAGATTCATTAGTGTAGTACAAAATCTTCACCAGTGTTAAGAATGACCAAACTTACTGGGATTGTTGGGCCAGGGGCAGTACCAGTTTTGGGAGAAGTGTCCCAGACACTAAGAAAAATATCCCAGTTTGTAGGATCCCATCCCATCCATCAACAATCCAAACAGCTGTAGATTTTGTCTTCTGCTAGTAATAAAGCAAGGAACAACTTCTGTGTTTATTGCTCATTACACATAAATAAAACTTGAGAAGGTTTCCATGCTTGAACTTCAAAAAAGTAGCCACTGGTGTAGGGATACAGAAAACTCTTAGCACTCTGTAATCATTGTTTGGATTTTTGCAGTCCTGATTTATTGCTCAAGTTGGAGGGAAACAGTAGTACAGGAAGCGGTATTCAAAGGCTCTTTTGGTAGAGCTTGAGTTTTCTTTCATTCAAGTTGGATGTACCTCATAGAGGATGGAAAATGGAAATGGAAAAAGAGAAGTAATCCATTCTGTTTCCTAATTGATAGAAGGGTCTGTTGCTTGTTAAGTATTCTTTAACTTGATTTGACCTGGAAATCATACAAGCACAATAGAGAGCAGGAAATGGAAATGTATAGAATATTTAAAGCTGTTTTCTTAGAGAAGCTCCTCCAAACTTTAACTGCCATCTTTAAAAAAAATAGAAATGAATATGCAATATTCCTATTTTTAGAGATCTCTGGTCATCCTGCTTATTACATATTCCATAGATAATGGGAAAATTAAATTCTTTGACTGCTAGTTCCTACCAAACCAAAATTTTGCATAAACTACAAAAATATTTCTTGTCTGCATGTGCATATGCATCAGAAAAAGATAGGAATTGCTCCACCAACTCATAGCATAACTCAGCCTGATCAATCCAGCAGGTTCTTCCCCAACTCCATTCCAATCTTAATAGGTAACAGTAAGTATTTGAATCTCTGTGTATAAAAGTGTCTGAGTGATTCATTTCCTCTGGTCATTGGGTTGTCCTAATGCTTTTCTTGGAATATGAAAATGCTATAAGAAATTTTGTATGACTATTCAGTAGTAAGTGAACTATGTTTATGTTTTTTAGGTAGAAAAATGTATTAATTATTGCCACAAGAATATGAGTACAATTGTAGCCACGCCATGCAATATGAACTGCATTAATGCTAACCTACTAACCCGCATAACTGATCTTTTCACACATAATGAAGTAGAAGAGGTAAAGGACAAGAGAGATAAATTTAAGAGGTACTTTCTGAGCAAAACAAAACCTTACCATTGTCTCCTTTTCTTTTGTATTCATATTATCATTAGTTTGAAAGAAATATTACTAACTGCACAATTGAGACCAATATTTAGTTAATTATGATTGAACTCCCAGAACAAAGTTTAAGCTTCAGCAAAATCATAGAAATTAGATCAATTAGGAGCCGTGGTGGTGCAGTGGTTAAAATGCAGTACAGCAGGCGACTTCTGCTGACTGCAAGCTGCCGGCAGTTTGGCAGTTCGAGTCTCACCAGCTCAAGGATGACTCAACATTCCATCTTTCTAAGGGTGGTAAAGTGAGGACCCAGATTATTGGGGGCAATATGCTGACTCTGTAAACTGCTTAGAGAGGGCTGTAAAGCACTGTGAAGCAGTATATAAGTCTAATTGCTATTGCTATTAATAAATAAAAATGTCCTGTCCTTGGATACAGCACAATCACCCAATGGACGAAGTCTAAGGAACTATTAATGTAATATTACTCTACTCTTCTTTGGTGAGATTTCATTCCTAGCCCTCCCAACACACACCTTTATTGCGATTAGTTCTGGGCATTCTGAAAAGTTGGAATAGTTTTAGACTTTCTCCAAGTCAGTAAAAAATTGAAGACATTGACATAGGAGGTTTTAGCTTGAAAAATGTTGCTGAGGAGAATGTTAAATATCTGCAAATATATGAAAAGATGTCACATAAAATAAGGTTAGGACTTGTCCGGTGTATATTGCTTCTGTTTTCTAAAAACCCATTTGTACTTAGGCAATGTTACTGTTTTGATGGCTTGGGCAACCTTCAACAGATGTCTTTGTCTAGTAAGCAAACTGATAGTGCTGTGGAGTTTTTGTTTTTCACTATCACAGTGGCCTTCTTCCTATCATACCCAAACTAACAAAAATTGTATCGAGTTCAAATGGTTAGGAATATGTTTGAGTAAAGTTCAAATGGCTAAGAATCTATTTGAGTTTCTGAATAGCCATCTCCCTACCAAATTGTATTAACTATTGAAGGGACTTTCATTGTCAGCTTGTGAATTTTGTTGTGATGGCAATTTCAAATCCTTTGAATATGGCAGAGTCACTCTTTAGTTCTCAGCCAATATTCAGAACCACCTGGGCAAATTCCTTGTTCTATCAGAACAGTATGATCTGTGTAACCAAGTTCAGAGTATCCTCTCTGTTAGGAATTAAGAACTAAATACAGGAAAGAGCAAACACCATGCAAGGAACCCGAATCACGGTGCAGCACTTCTTTAAAAAAAATGGCTGCAATATTATAAGCACTTTTCTTCTCTGTTTTTAATGTAACATTTAGAATATGAATAAAATATTTGGTAACTCATTTTTATGGGTCTTTTGTTTTGTAACTAATAGCAAACTTTTCTGTAAGAAGATAGAAAGACTGTTTGATCCAGAGTATCAGAATGCAGATTCTAAGGGAAACGCAGCAACCCTTTACAGGTATACAGCTCTCCATTGCTTTGGCAGATGTTGGCAGATGTTCCATAGCTCATTGCAGTTTTGTAAAATCATTCTCATATTTTTGTTTTTTGTACAGATGTTACTTATGTAAGAAACTTCTTATTCAGGATACTGAAAGAAAAATCCCATGTATTCCTGGAAAGATTAACGTGGATCAATATGGAAATATACTCTATATTCACATAAGGTGCTTCACAAGTCATTTTGCAGCAACATTTTTATGTTTTATCTTAACTTCTTTTAACATATGCTGTAGAAAATCTTTAGTTTATAAACTACACTCCATCTATTATTCCAGCTGACAGTTTTAACCAGGTGCTCTAGGGAACAATGGCTAAGGAACAATGATTTTTGAAATATAGATTTATTAACAAAACAATTTAGCAGATCAATGCAATCCCTGTTACTGGCTCAAACGTATAATTTACTTTGAGTGAAAACAAAGTTAAGCAGGGTCACTGGATGGGAGACAGTGAGGAAATGCCAAGGCTTTATTCAAAGGTAGCCGTGGTAAACCACTTCCATATTGTTGTCAAATAAATATGGATATGCCAATGAGGTTATTAGAACTTAAACTCTATTCAGAGTTTATAATTTTCTCCATATACTGTAGCAATCAACACAAAATGATGATGTTAGCAGACTATAGGTGAGATGTATGAAAGATTGCCAATCATTAAATTAGCACAATGAGGATCACTCAAAGAAATGGTGAAAGAAAAAAGAACTATATTTTTTCCCAACCCGTGCAACAGTAATCAGTCAGAATTAAAAACTAATTTCTCTAAAACGGCTGCTCATTTTTCTGTATAGAGATAAATCTTGGGATATCCATGAGTATCTCCTGAGTCTTTTTGAAGAATTAAAATCATGGCGAGATGTATACTGGCGTCTTTGGGGAACTATTAACTGGTTGACCTGTTCAAGGTGTAATCAAGTGAGTATTTTTTTAGTCTCCTCAGGATATTTTTAGTTGTCTTAAAATTTATAGAGTCGCATTTTTTAAGAAATATATATATATATTTAAGAACAATGTATCATAGAGTCCAGTCTGATTTGCAGCTTTTTCTTCCTTTTTAAGTAAAAAAAAAATGCAAGAATGGTAATGGTGATAATATATGTTTGTTGCTATTGGGTGTCTCCTGCAGATTTTCCTGTGCACTGAGTTTTCACATTGCCAATATCATCCTCAACCAGTCCTCTATCCTGGTGTAGCAAGTTGTCTTGGTTCCACTGGTACCGGAATATATCCCTGCTGTAACCAAAAAGTTCTTAGATTTGATCCTGCTCCTATTCCAAAAGTATGTATTTGGAAGAAATCTTTTGAAATCTTCCTGCCACATATGGTAGTTTCTAACCAATTTATACCCTCAATCTCTATTCCAGCCTCAAGAAAGCTCCAAATTCCCTTTTAATGAGCTACTGCATATTTATGTAAATGAATGCCATCCAAGCAGTATGCAAATTTGGTTTATGTGTTTTTGTGTTTTACTATGACTTGTAATGAGGCATGATTCACTGAATGAATTTTAAACCATTATCGTTAATATGTACTTTTATTCAATATGTCCAGACCAATTACCCCAACAGGGGAGTATCTCAATGGAGGTGGTTAATTAAGTGCCAATCCCACCTCTTCCCTCTCCCCAAAAATCTGGCTTCTTCCTTCCCGTCTTGTAACTATGATTTTACTTTCTTTTTACTGGGTTAGGAGTATTTGTCTCTGATGATTTTAAAGTTTTTGGGCTGTAGGCTGCCCAGAGTTTGAAAAGAGATGGTCAACAAATTAAACAAAATAATTAATAAAATGCAGAGATATCTAAAAACAGTACAAGGCCTACTTTTCCACAACAACAAACTTTTGAGGGGAGCTGAGAGGCACTCACTAATCTTGTGTGGCAGAGGAGTCTAGAATATGGATCTCCACAGAATCTCTCTGCTTTTGTCAAAACAATAAAGGTGATATCATGTCATCAATTCTGCATCAGTTGATAGTTGAGTGCAATGTAACAGCACATACATAAAAAGCGGGCAAGATTTCATTATGGTGCTGCACTGCTATTTTCAGCATACTGCCCCCTTTGACCCCACCTTCCCGCATGTGAACGTGCGCGTGCACGCACACACACACACACACACACACACACAAACAAACACACACACAGAGGCTGAGTTCATTTTCCTCATTCGTAGCCCAACACATTAACCACTACATTATACTGGATGTCCAAAATAACACATGTTATAACAAATGTTATAACAATTGTGCCAAAATCACTGTTGTTTGTAAAGATTGTGATTGTATACATTGTAATTATGTATTATTTAATTTGCCTCATTGGCTTTCACTCTTGGTTCTTTTTTAATAAAAGGGATGTAAAGTAAGAGATCATGTGATTGGCTTGCCTCCTGGAGGTGAAGGTGGGGATAATGTGTCCTATCAGACAGCTAAAATACTGAATGATCTGATTCAACACCGAAATATTATTGTTCTGCCCTTTTCAAAAGACCAGAACAGGTAAGAAAATAGGTATATGTTACTATTTATCTATGTAAAATAAATTCTAGAAGTATGCCATCAGTTAAATAACCTTCTCTAGAACCCACAACATTATTGTGCATAATAAAGCATTGTGTTTGTCTGCTAATTTCATATTTTGCCATTTTTTAAAAAAAATGTTCTGTTTTGGACAGTCATCTGCCTGCAGAATTCTGACTGGAATAACATAGCTGTTTCTTTCTTTCTTTTTGAAGCAATTCTGGAATAGGGCTGAATGATGAGAAGGGTTTTGAATGTAGTATTTTACTGGAGCCAAATTCATCATGGGGGCCCAAAGCAGGAGAAATTAATGCTGTGAGTAATTTGGGTTTTCCTCCCCTCTATTTAAATTTCCATTAAGTTATATCACCCTGCTTATTTCAACAGAGTAAAATCAGTTCAGGGAGGCACTTTCTTTAAGACAGGTGTATGGAAATTGTGGCTTTCCAAATTTTGTTGGATGGATCTCCCATCAAGTTTGAGCAATAATCAAGAATGTAGCACTATTTGAACAATTGCAGATCTCCCCACTTGTCCTTCATGAGACGCACATTGACCTTGGTGCCTTTAGGGAAATGTGTAAGTATAGCATGTGTGGGAAATTCTTTCTGCCAGACCAGTAAATTGGATGCAAACTTGATGCATAGAAAGAGGCCTGTGGTTTCTGCTTTTCATCTCAGGTTACCCAAGTTCTTTCTAAAGAGGGAAAGCTGCTGAGACCCAGGTGTTTGGGCTAAAGAAATTGTTATTGTAGAATACCAAACTAGTTATATATGAATGAGTGCCCTCTGTTCCCTTTCCACACTCTGTCTTCTGCTTTCATCAGCTGCCTTCACAGAAGTTTTACTACGTTAGATGTAGTGAAGGCTTATTAAAATAATTTGATCATTGTATGCATGGTGACCTGTGTAGATAGGATTGTGATATTATTTGGTTGATAAAGTAAGAAAAATCTTAGTTTAAATTTTAGTTAGTTTGAAAAATATTGCTTCCTTGTGTACTTTATATCTTGCGATGATTTTGTATCAAAGGAACCAGCTCAAGAGGAAATAATCATTTAATGCAGCATATTATGATTTTGATTATTTTTTGAGTTGTTATTATATCCTAGCATTTCCCAGAACTGTTGATATAAACCGCTCCTTTTGGCTGGAGGGGATGCCTGTATCATTACCATTCTATTGCATTTTAACAGGAGAATTGGCTTTTGTGTGGGCATTGGACCAGGGGGTGTCAAACTCACATTGTCATGGCAACATCACATGACATATTGGGACTTTTTTTTCCCTTCACTAAATCCGGCATGGGTGTGGCCAGTGTGTAATTCATCCGGCCTGCGGGCGGGAGTTTGACAGCTCTGCATTAGACCCTTTTAAAAATGCTTACAGTAGACTTGCCACATTCTCCAACTCTCCTGGTTTTTTTCTTTCTTTCTTTAGTTCCTTTCTCTGAAAAACTGGACTCTTCAGCTGGTATGTTTATCTTAGTTATTTACATTCCATTAGATAAAATTCCTACATTTTCAGTATTCTGCATGCTTAGATGATTTATTATACTAGGGTCCTGCTTTCAAGGAAACCCCTTTGAAACTTAATTTAAACCATTGTCTTCAGCAAATATTAGGATATAAATATAGTAGATAATTTATGGAAAACTACAAGTTATTGGTCAGAAAGCTTAGAGTCAGAACATTGTTTGGAAAGTTGCTGGTTCAGCTTTAAACTTCTTCACGCCATCCCAAGAATGGGATTTCATCTGCAATTTCATTTGCTATGTTGGCTTATACTTATAAGTTTATTGGCTTTGTTCTTATTTTTCTCTTTCTTTCTTTGTTTTTTTCTTTTTCTTTTGTATTCATATTCATTTATTAATTAAGTTTATATCCTGCTTTTCATTCAGGAGCTCAAGGTGGCAGTTTTACATTTTACCATTATAATTTCATTGAATTTTAGTAGATTATCATTCTCAACCTTGACCTGAGCATTTTGTGTTGTGCAAATCATGATTTTACAGCTCAATAGTAGCTCCTACTGGGAAAGAAAATGGTGCCCCACTTCAGCCATTATATTTGGGCTGTTTTGAAATATAATAGAATTTCTAAACATGTTAATGATTGCCATATTCACTACACCTGGTTGAGATTTGTAATGCAAGAAAAGAGATGATTTTTTTTTTAATACAAGAGCTGTTCTAAAATAAGTGAATACATGTTTAACTAAATACATGTTTTGTTAGGCAGAATCTAAAAGAATAAGAAATCCAAGTTATATGAGAATGAATAATCAGCAATTCTGCTCATTTTATAGTGCTACCAGTTTTGGACTCCCAGGCGAGAGATTGTTGCCTTCTCTGTTTCATCTAAATTGACAAACTGCAACCAATAGTGCAACAGATAGTCCTCACAATTGTTTCCTGCCATTATGTGACATGTATAGAATAAACGGGCATGCTTTTGTCTGAATGTCTGATTATTCTCACCCCAGATTCCGGTGCCCTGGGAGCAATAAACTCAAATTATTAGATGTTAACCATCATCCAATCCCAAATGTTCCTTGTTTTATAAATGGTGATGTTCTAAGGTTCTTTGTTGTTTTTCAACGTATGTTTTAGTCCATTCTTATCAATATAAGAATGTCATAGAGCTCTTTCACTTGACCTATTAATCCTAAAAGTTATATATGTTGAAGATGTGCCTGGGATTGGAAAAACAAAAACAAATTAATTTTTAATTCAAATGAAAAAGTACTATTAACAAGAAAATCTGCCATTCCTGGACTATTTAATGACTATTTAATGCACTGAAAAGAACCATTTTTTAAATTCTAGTTTAGGAACCACAACTAATATGGAATGAGACTGCTGGATTGATTATGGGAGCTAGGGGAATAGATAATATAACATACATTCTCCACACTACTTCCATTTCATCATAATCAAGATCAGAACATTAGAATTTTAAAAATTCAGAAATGGTAGAAAGTGATACCTAGATCTCTGTGAGTAATACACGAGTCCAAGATTCCTTAAGGCTCATATAGGGAATAATTTTCAAACACATATACCAGATGATGGGAGCAGAAATTTCAATTTTTAAATTTCAATTTTTATTGTGTGTAAATCCTGTTACCTGACAATCTATTGTTGTTTGGAGATGAGTGGTACCCATTAATTTCCTCCCTGTCCCCTGGCTATAATAGAAACAACAGTTGCTACTTTCAGAAGATGATGAATACACAACTGGGTCTGAAGTCACAGAGGATGAAGTAGGGGATGAAGAAGAAGTGTCCAGGAAAACAGGTATTTTTTCCTGGCTGTAATATTAAATATGATAACAGTTAGGGATATAAGAAAGTGAAAAAACTCTTCACAAATCATTATTCCTCCTAGAACTTAAATATGGATTAGTCATTGTATTTATCCATCCATCCATTCATTTGTCATATTTATATGGCCACCCATCTTGAAAACAAATGAGTGGGCAGCATACAACAAAACAATCAACTATTAATATTATTATTAAAAAAAAAAAATTAGAAAAAGCCCCCAAATGAAAAAAAATAGGCAAACAACAGGTGTTAATTACACTGGAGCCATCTCAGTATTGGATCTTATATAAGTTATACTATGTGATGACCCGCAGTCTCTTAAAATAACCCAAAACCCAAAACATACATTAAAGTCCTGTAAGGTCTTCAACTTAACTTCACTGTTTTATTAGGCACAGTTTAAAGTCACAAAAGTAAATAATGAGGCAAAAAGAAAACCAAAACAAACTGCATTGACGAGAGTTCCGAAGCAAGCCAAGATAACTAATCATAAACTCCAGGAAAATAACCGAGGAGAGTCCATGGGAAGAACGCCAGCAAAGATAAACCTCTTTCAAAGTAAACACTAAACTTTGACTCCAGCAATTCTGACTGCGCAGTTACAAATTTATATACATAGCTCCCAGCTGTAAGCCACGAGGAGGATCATGGTAATCTCCTCTTGAGTAGACCTCGCTTTTCCCTGATCCTCTCCTCCCTGCAGGACCTAGGGGATGGGCCTGGATCCTCCTCTGACTGCTCAGCCGGCCTCTGCCCTTCCCCAGCCTCCTCCTCCACCTCTGGAGCCACACTCCCACTCCCTGTGGCTGTTCCTCCTCTTCCTCAGAGTCAGTCTCCACCAGGGGCATGACATACTAATTCAGTATTACTGTTTTGTATTCTTGTATTACAAAATCTGTTTCTTTCTCTCTCTCTCTCTCTCTCTCTCTCTCTGTCAGCTGGTGCTCCATTCAAAATCCAAGAAAGAAATACTTAGACTCTTTTAATCAGAGAAAAGATATCTTTTACTGGAAATCAAGTGGTAGCAACAAAAGAATTCTGAATCTGAGAAAATGGGCGTGTAAATCACATATACAAAGTAATGGCAATGTTCCCACCCCCAATAGTTCAATTGGCTCATCCAATTAAAAGTTGTGTATATCATCATGTGGGCATCTCCAGATGGTGATGAGGCTTCTGTCCGTTGACCTTGACATAGTTTGATAAAGGGTTGCAGCTGCGCATAGCAAAGGATAGAAACCTAAGCAAGAATGTACCACCCCCCAGCTTATACAGTTCTGGTTTGCAACATCTCCAGCTCACTTCCCATAACCATTCCCCCCTCCTCCCCCCGTTACTTATGTCAGCCGAAAGATGCAAAGCAAAGGGAGAAAAATCTTGAAGGCTGACATTTGACCCTCTAGAAAAGAGACGTTAGTCCTAGAAAAGATAAAAATAGAAGGTAATAGAAAATATACATGTAACAGCAACATACTAATTTTTAGGGTTTATCAGGATATTTAATACGAAATGCCTTGATAAGTGTAGGAGCTCTAACATCCTTCTCATTCACCCACTCAGCCTGGGAAGGAGGAAAATGTTTCCAAGCAACCAAATACTGGAGTCAACCCCTTCATTTTTGAGAATCCAAAATTTCTTTAACTTCAAAATGTTGTTAGTTTACGGAAAGTATATGCACATGGTTGCAGAGTCCTCGTTTGCTTGTAGTAACACCGCCCCGACTGCTATGTCACTCGCATTGGCTTGGATTACAAAAGGAGCATCCATGTCCGGGTGCTTGAGTACTGGTTCACCAGCAAACAGTTGTTTCAGTTTCTCAAAGGCGGCTTGACATTCCATGGACCTCTCCAGGGGTTTACTAGGCCTCCCCTTTGGTTTTTAGGAGATTTGTGATAGGCATTGCAATCTTCGCAAAAGCAGGGATAAATTGACTGTAAAAATTAGCGAATCCCAAGAAACGTTGAAGTTGTTTCCTGGTGCAGGGAGGGGCCCATTCCAAAATGGCATGAAACTTCCCCGGATCCATTTCTATGCCATCATGTGAGATGCGATAACCTAAATAGTCAATTTTTTTCTGGTGGAATTCACACTTGGACAACTTTGCATACAGCTCAGCAGCTCAAAGTTTTTCCAGAACTGACCGCACTTGTTTCATATAATCATTAAGAATCTCCATGTAGATAAGAATATCATCAAGATAAACCAACACCCCTTTGTATAGATGTTCATGCAACACGTGATTGATCATTTGCATGAATACTGCAGGAGCCCCCTGTAGGCCAAATGGAAGGATGTTGAATTTTGCTCCAACCAAAAAACCCCTGGCATCTGTTTCGGGTCAGATCAATTTCCACCTTTGCCGCCAGCACGTACCACAGCTGCAGCTCACTGGGGTCTCTTCTGGCAATACAGCTTTGATATACATCTTCATCCAACCCATCTTTAAAAGCTTCTATCAGGGCTCCCTGGGACCAGCCTCGAATATGACATGCCAGCTCTCTAAATTCCTGGGTGTAGTTGGCCACTGATCTCCGCCCCTGATTTATAGTCTTCATCCTAATTCTGGCCTTACGTTCAACAAGTGGGTCTTCAAATCTGGCCCGCAGTGCAGTCATGAACAGGTCGTAATTCATCAGCTGAGGGGCATTATCATTATGCAAAGTCACCATCCACTTTGCAGCTGTTCCTTCCAGAGCCCTGGTAAGACATCTAACTTTGGCTGCTTCTGAGAAAAAATCCCCTCCATATTCCTCCATATGGCTGCAGACTTGTGCCAGGAAGAATCCTAACTCCTTGGAATCCCCCCCATATTTTACTTCCAACGGGGGCACCTTTGGAGTTCTACGTCTTCTGGCAATTACTCCTCCCTCTGGGAGCCCCTGGGTTGCTGCTGCCTATTGCGCTAGCCCAGGTTGATTTATGGGGGTGGCTGCTCTGATTCTTCTGGCTGGGGCTGCCTCCCCCTCCTCTCCCTCATACCTTTGATCAGTTTGAGGTTCTCCAATAGCTTCATTTAGAAGATGCATGGCTTGAGTTAGTAAAAAATTCTTTCTTTTCTTCTCTTGCCATGGCTCCTCTCTTCCACGCCGATGGGTAGTGGTCACTCCTGGAGGAGGCTTTTCCTCAGGGTCCTTTCAGCCGACTCCCAGGGACCATTTGGGTTTTATAGCTGGTTTTTCCCCAGGATTTAGTTCTGCTAACAAGTCGGTTTCCCCTGCTTCCTCTAGCAGCAGAGAATCTTGTCCTCCAGTTGCTCCCAGGTCTTCTTGGTCGCTGGCTGGATTTGACATTGTGTTCAGATCCCCTTGGAAGAAAATTTATTATTTCTCCGGGTGGGCTGGTAATGTGGAGATTCAGAATAATGTCAGCTGGTGCTCCATTCAAAATCCAAGAAAGAAATACTTAGACTCTTTTAATCAGAGAAAAGATACCTTTTACTGGAAATCAAGTGGTAGCAACAAAAGAATTCTGAATCTGAGAAAATGGGCGCGTAAATCACATATACAAAGTAATGGCAACGTTCCCACCCCCAATAGTTCAATTGGCTCATCCAATTAAAAGTTGTGTATATCATCATGTGGGCAACTCCAGGTGGTGATGAGGCTTCTGTCCGTTGACCTTGACATAGTTTGATAAAGGGTTGCAGCTGCGCATAGCATAGGATAGAAACCTAAGCAAGAATGTACCCCCCCCCAGCTTATACAGTTCTGGTTTGCAACATCTCCAGCTCACTTCCCATAACCATTCCCCCCTCCTCCCCCCGTTACTTATGACAGCCAAAAGATGCAAAGCAAAGGGAGAAAAATCTTGAAGGAAAAATCTTGAAGGCTGACACTCTCCCTCTCTCCTTCCCTCCCCCCACTCTTGATTCTGATAATGAAAGCCACTTTGTGTAGAAATACAGCTTCACCTTGACTATCTAGAAACTCCAAATGTCAATCTGTCCTTGTTCAGAATATTCCTAGCTTAAACATATGTTTTAATTCATTGTTGTGTATTTGAATATGACAGATGAAGAGAGCCTAACATGGTATATGCCAGTGATGGCTAACCTTTTTGGGCTCCTGTGCCAAAAATTGTGTGCGTGCTCGTGAGTCCGCACTCATGTGCCAGCCCCCAGAAGGCAATGTGCACGTCCCCCCACACCCCCTGTTCATACGCATGCAATTTCCCCCCCCCTTACCTGCACTGCGCCTCACAGCTGATTTTCTGGCCAATTTGAGGCCTTTTGCAGCCTCCCAGAAGCTTGAAAAAAACTTCTGTGGGCTTTGTAGGCTGAATAATAGGCCCGATTCGTCACTTCCAGTATTAAAAGAAGTGATGAAATGGGCCTATTATTCATCCTGCAAAGCCTGCAGAGGCTTTTTTTCAAGCCTCTGGGAGGCCAAAAAAGGCCTCAAACCAGCCAGAAAATCAGCTGTGAGGTGCATGCATGCGCAGTGAGGTAAGTTTGCCTGCGGCTTGCGTGCCGGCACAAATGGCTCTGCGTGCCGCCTGTGGCATGCGTGCCATAGGTTCACCATCACAGGTATATGCTGATCATTTGTGTACACTATTTTTAATTAACAGGAAGAAAAGAGAGGCCAAAAAAATTGATCAGAAACCCCAAAAAGCAAGTATCTTCACCTAATATTCAAAAGAAGGAAAAAACGTTAGAGAAGGTAAATCTGAAATGCGTAAAGTATTATAAAAATAACTTTTTGTTATTCACTGAAAGTAGTAACAACTTTGATTTTATGTTCAGTTCAACTCTGAAAAATTAGTTTAAGATAGGCCTTTCTGTTTGATGGATGATCTAGAATAAGACTTAAGTCTCAATAATTAAATGAAAAGAACTAGTCATAATGAGGTTAGTTTTGTTAGTAGATATAAACTCTGACTTCATAACTATTAGGGTTTTGTTGTTCCTTTGAGCCTAAAAACAAGTATCTCCAAGGGAAATCCTCTGTGGTTAGTAGTTTGCATAGTTTAAGTAAAGAAAATTTGAATAAAGATTTTTCTTATTTTAGTGTATTCCTTTTTTCTTTTATTTGACAGCCTAACTCTCGAGACACATCTCCCTTTATGTAAGTATTGGCTAAAATTTAGAGGAAAGCCATTAAAGCAAACTCTAGTATTTTATTATTTATATAGCTGCCCATCTGAACAAATGACTGGGTGGCTACAAACATCATAAATATATGCTGGTTGCCAAGTGCCCAAATCAGAGTGACATGACTGTGACTCTTAATATCCTCAACTTTGAGGACCCAGTTATAAATCTCTATTTACAATCCCATTGAAAGGTCAAATGGATAGGGAAGCAGGGACTACCTGTACTAATTTGGTTAATACAATAATTTGTCAAACCATAATGTTAATGCTGTAGGTATGATATTTAATGCTTATGTATGTCTTCCTCCTCTGCTATGCCCACTTATTTTACAAGAAACAGTTTGATGTCTGAACTGGCAAACTGGTTTGTACTTTCCTTTCAAATAGTTTCAGGCTATGATATGTTCTTGTGGTTTGGAGGGAGAGCATAAGCCATAGTTTGCTGCTCCAGCTGTTGTATTTAGTTTTCATATGTGACATAAGTATATGAGCATGATGCTAAATTCCGATTTTGGTATTATGATTTTTGGCCTAAGCTGAGAGGTTAAATAAATGCAGCAGGGGGTGGCAATTTTATTTATTCAGTTATTTATTTTAATAGCTTATATAAATGCACATCTAACTGTAATGCAGGGGTGTCAAACTCGTAATGACACATTGTTGTCACATGATGTATCACAACTTTTCCCCCCTTCACAAAACTGGGGATGGGCATGGCTAGCGTGCGATGCCTCTGGCCTGTGAACTGCAAGTTTGACACCCCTGCTCTAGTGATAATGGGCAGCACACATGATTAAAACTAGCAAAACATACAATAATAGAAGGTAATAATAATAATAAGAAGAAGACAGCAACATATGTCCAGATCTAAAAATCCAATTGTAATCCATACAGATGAAACAACAAATCCACCAATAGTAAGTTCATAGTCCCAATGCCTAGACGAACATTCAGGTCTCTTTTATTAAAGGCCAGAAGTGTCCAGGCCATTCTGATCTGTTCCATAGGATCTATGTTCTATAAGACAGATTCTAGTACAGAGAAGGCACATAAGCTACTCTTTCAGAAGAACCTCCAAGTTGCATACCAACTCTGGAGAAATGCTGCTCCATGCAGAGATAAAGATAAATAACTTTATTGGCCTGGGGCATAGATATATAATTAAGCATAATTGGCATACTGTGTTAACAGATGACTTCTTTAGTGACTTACTACAGATGTTATAGAGAAGCATAGAGTGCTTAGAACTCTGAAAAGTTGTACCAAGTAGGGACCACAGGTTTGATCTCTCCCCACTAATTGTCTATGGAGATTCTTAGTCATCCAGGTCATGGTTGTCCCAAAGGTGCTTTTTCAAAAGGCAACCGGGCTTCCTTTGTTTTTTTGCTTGAAGATGTTTTGCTCCTCATCCAAGAAGCTTCTTTACTGAATGAAGAAGCTTTGTGGATGAGAAGTGAAACGTCCTAAGAGGTCTATAAGGGGTGTGCATAAGTGCACAATCGTGCCTACGTCCCTGTCCTATAGTCCCCAATTATTCATATCTATTTCCTATATTCATACTCATGTTTATTCTTATACCTATTATCTTGTAAGTGATTGACAAATCAAATAAATAAAACAAAGTCAAGTTGCCTTTTGAAAAAGCAACTTTGGGACTCCTCACTAATTAATATCAACTGGAAGCAGCACTAGAAGAAGGAGAACTACTGTAGCCTCTGTTAGGAATTGATACCTAACAGTTGGGTTGGAAATACATAAACCAGGATAGACATTTAATACTGTCTCCTTAAGGGAATGCTAAAATTGTAATTGGGTGTGGTTCCCCAAATGGCCATAAGATGGAGCCAGAAACCTGGGTTCTTAGTTCTGTTGTTAGTTGCTAGTTGGTCGATGTTCTGTTGTTCGCTGTTTTTGGTTCCTGCATTTTTCCCTATTGACTGTTGCTGATCATCATTCTTCTTGGATTGCTGTGAGTCTATTTACTGAACTGTTTATGATACTGGACTTTGTTATTTGGATTATCCCTGGACTGAATGCTGACTACTTTAACCGTGTAGGACTTGGACTGTTTGTTGGACCTTGCTTAACTGTTTACTGGAAGTAAAACCTACATTTTACTATTCAGTGTATCTGTGTGCTGGTCATGTGTTATTCAACATCAATCTCACTACGTTTCCCTGTGTGCACCCATTCTCCTAACAGGGAATTACCTTAACAGCCTCCCACTCCTAACCTGAGCTAGTCCAAGATCAATGGTATCAGAACCTGCTGAGGGTTCAAGGAAGGGCAGGAGGTGTATGTTACCCACCAAAGGTCATCAGCAAATGTAAACAGTGCTATCTTAATGCTGTAGCCAGGTCTGAAATCCAGAGAAGGATCCTAAATATTCACTTCCTTGGGAGCTGCAATCCAACTTCACAACCTGCCCTAAAATTATCCAGTTCCTCTGAGTTCTGCAATGGCAGATAATTGTCCCTTTCAAAACAGGCCCAATATATCCTGAATTAGTCTAGAAAGAATAAGACTGATTGCTTGCTTCTATGTTCTTTGTCATGGCTTATCTGCTCTTTCGTTAGAATGAGTATGCAGCAGAGTAAGTGGGATCCTTCCAGATCACTAAGATTCAATCAAGATGCTCAAAGAGAAGAAGGTAAGGTGTACCTGCTTAGCTTGTATAATTTTAATAGATAAAATAATGCTAGTATTATTCCATACCTGCATAAATATGTATGTCCAAGCTTTTGTTAGGTAGGAATTAAATCTTTCTTCTGTCCATGAAACATCTTAATATCAGTGAATACTCCTGGAAGATGTGCATAATCTTTTTTATTACTTTTATTATTATTTTTATATTGTGTTTTTATTTCCCATAAGCTGCCTTGAGTCTCCTGTGAGCGAGTAGGTGGCAATATAAATTTTCCAGTTAAATAAAATAAATAAATAAACTGCAGCCCTGGGCTGTATGTATTCTCCAGCGTCTTGAGGATTGGCCTCAGAAACTCTCCAAACAATTTTTAATGTGACAGATAGAAAAGTTATTTAAAAATTATCTAACTTTAATTTGTGCAATCTTAATTTATTTCAGTTTAAAACAAACACACTTTAATGTAAAACTAGAGGTATAGCCTTTGTCCATTCTTTCAATATTTAAAAGATGTTTGAAAATCCACTTTATAAAGAAAGTTCTCCTTCTTGCCTATCAGTATCTATGTTTAATTTGTTTAAAGAATAGCTAAAGCAGAACTTGATGAAAGCACATTTGGCACAGTTAATCCTAGTTATTAACTGTTTCTTCCTGGGATAAATTAATAATAGCAGATCTAAATTATTCTGGTCCTTCATCCTAATTCTTCATGTCCTTTTTGAGAGATAACACTAGAAGCAAAGGAGCAAATTCTTTACCTGGATCTACAAAGAGATGGGTGGAACAGTCCATTACTCTAATGGTGGGCTCAGTAGTAGATTTTTTTACATTACCGAACTACTTTGATGAAAACCTCTCTTGTCTTTTATGGTAAAGATGTCTAATTGGCTAGACTTCATGGTCTGCCATCCAGCACAAGATTGCCCATGTCCCTGTTGGTTTGAGACCCATTTTACTCAGTTATTAAGACAGAATTATGAATGAATAATAGTTTTCTTAACCCGTTGTTTAGGTTATTCAGAAAAGATGAGTTCTTTAAAAAAATAATAATAATGGATCGATCTCTAGAAATATTATAAGAGATTTTTGTGACTATAAATGGGTTTTAAAAAAGGGGGCTATGGGTTTAATATTAATATTTATTGATTTCATTTAGATCTTTTTAGATATGATTTGTTATTTACTTAATTATTTGGCTTTTACTACATTTCATTTTAATTTTCCTGTCTTTGTTGGGTTTGATCTTTGGCCAGAAATAAAGTAATTGCTACTCTGAAGAATGAAAAGGTTGTAGTGACTGGCTCTTCTATTTCTTTTCTGTGTTTTTTTCCCCTCCAGATCAGCGGCGAATGATTGAGATAACACGACATCTAATAAAAATTAGGTTGGGAGATCTTGATCGTCTAAAATCAAAAGAAAACAAAGAAGTGAGCTTTATTGCTGTTCTAATTTAATATCAGATGTATTTTGGCTATGCATCTGATTTTTTCCTTTAAATTATTATTTGTTACCTTTCTATAATCCAGTAACCCGCCCTCCCCCCCCCCCATCGAATGTTGGGTGTAGTAATGATACCTAAAAATAATTCTTGTATCTTCTTGTCCCCCGCTTGGTTTTCCCAGCTGTGAGCTGCCTGATGCTTTTGCTCTAGTCCTTTTCTTGTCTCCCTCTCTGGTTGGTGACACTGTCACATTGCCATATCGGATGTGATTAGGTCTTTCCGTCACATTAAAACAAATCACCATTTCCTACCCACAACTAGGTTGTCCTTTGCTCCTCCTCTTGAGTAACATCCCTGGATTTTACCCCTATTTCAGTATCTATGGAGGTTCTCAATCATCCAGGTCATGGTTGTCCCAAAGGTGCTTTGAACTGAAGATGGTTCTTGGATGAGAAACGAAACATTTTCAAGAAAAAAAAAAACATAAGGAAGTCCAGTTGCCTTTTGGCAACACCTTCATGGCTGTTTGCGGGTGGGTAAAATGGATTCGTCTAACAGCCACTAGTTTGCTTAATAACCAACACTTTCACTTAACAACTGCCCCTAAAAGGTTGCAAATATCAGGCACAGTTTAACCATGTGAACCATTTAACCATTTTGAGACTCAATTATGACTGTAAGTTGAGGACTACCTCTACTGATTTCTTCTCATTGGGTATTATTACAATATAATTACAATTCAGGCTTTTACCTTGTCTCTCATTGGGACAAAAAAAATCCCATTTAACAAAGGCTATCCATCTCCCATTATGTAGAGTAAGAAATAAAGCCCTAATCTGTAAATCATTTGACTGATTATTTGACTTCTGTCCTTTCAGTCTGCAGCCGGAATTTATGCAAGACTTGAAGCTCAGATCAGGGCAGCTGCACAAGTCAATATTCGTCAGAATATTCCTGAAAAAATGATAAGGTAAATATTAAGTAAATAGGAGAAGGAGAGTGAAGAGGAATATTATAATTGGTATATAAAGATTTATAGAAGAGCAACTAGATTTTGATATGCAGTATGTCTACACTGTAATATTGTAAGCCTCCCAGAGTTGCCACATATTAAATGGGTGGCCAATATGTTCAATAAATAAATAAATAAATATTTAAATAACATGCCCTAAAATTTCAGAACTGATACAATTTTCATTCTCCTTAGAAACTAATTTACAGCTTCAATAATTGGATTCAATGTGGTCATTTTACTTTCACCCTGTATCTAATTACTAATTGAGTGGGGAATTTGTGAAATCAGTGAGTCTCATAACATATTCCATTGAAGAATGAGAGGTCAAATTTGACGGTTTCTAGTTTGGTAGTGCAATGTTCAGGTACTATATTGCTAAATCAGCAGATGACCCATAGTCATTGATTAATTGTTATGGTTAACTTCTGTTGCAATTTTTCCAATCTATTTCTGTCAATTTAGGACAAAAGCTCGATTTGGTCAAAGCCGCCCAACTTAAAAACAAAACCTAGAGATTTTCTGCGCTGAACCCAAAGCACTTTCCTGCCTTCTGCAACTGCTTCCAAGATTCCAGAAACGGGGCATGCTTCTTCCGAAAGGTTTCAGTGACTGACATTCTCGTCTGCCATGTTAATTATTCTGTTTTAATGAATTAATACCCATTTTTCATCTGTTGTAAGTTGTAAATACACCATTTTCTCTTAAGCAAAATGGTGCATTTATAAGCCTGCAAAACAAAATGTAAAGCCCTTATTTGACTGAGGGTGGAAAAAGTGGTGCTAATGAAATTAAGAATTTCATATTTTGCTATCAATTTTTAGTAACAGTCAAACCTGGCCTTTTTATATACTTTTGCTTTATCTGGCAACGATATTAACTTGTAATGATTTAGTTGTATAAAAATAAGGTGGTAATGCCTTGGCATCCTGTTTAAAATCTTGATCTTATTCCTGTTCTGCCATTAAGTTTTCCTCTCTAAAGTGTTCTCTCTCAGTGAGACAGTGTGCATGTTAATAGGTGCTTCCTTTCCAAACTTCTTTTCTTTAATGCTTAAATAAAAAACAGTTAAGAGAAAAAACTACACTATTTTATGGGTGCAGGGAACCCCACAATCTTTTTCTGCACTGAAGTGCCAAATATGACAAATGATAAGGGTAAAGTCCATGCTTGTAAGGATAAGGTTTTTTTATAACTGATTTATGTATACATCTCTTTGCAAAATTAAATCTTTGTTTAGAAAGATTTGTGTATGAAGGCTTCAAGTTGTCAACCTGCTCCTTGATATTAAATTGAAAACTAGAAGTCATTCATCTCTTAAATGTAATAACACCTTTTGGCAGAAATGGATTCTATGAAGTGCTGTAAAGATAGAAGTAGACTGAAGAGCTAATGTATGTAGTCCTAGCTCAGCATTTCTCTTCTGCAACCATCCACTGCATAGAATATTGCATAGAAGCATCTGCAGGATTCCTTTTAAGAGCTTTAAGGGAAGAAAGACCTCTCTTCCAACTCATCAATCAACATTTTGCAGCTCCTTCTCCCATCTACAGGTAATCCTCACTTACCGCTTCATATGGCAAACTGTTTGAAGTTAGAATTGTGTAAAAAAAAAAAAGCTTTTCAACCAATCGTCACATCTAAGACCTTTGCAGCATCCCGCTGTAATGTAATTGCCATTCGGGTTCTTCACAATTGGTGCATATTTACAAATGTCGCATCTTGTGGGCACATGATTACCATTTGCTTGCTTCCCAATCAATTAACAAACAGAGTTAATGCAGAATGCAGAAGCAAAATCACAAGTCGCATCCACATGATACTTCACTTAATGACCCCAGTGACTCACTTAATGACCAAATGGGAAGTGATGCCATAAGTCCATCATGGTCCCATGATTTTCTACTTAGGGGTTGTGGCAATTAGCAATAGAATTGCCAGTTCTAATTGTGTTTGCTAAGGTTTACATTTACTTGAACAATTCCAGCAATGATATGAAAAGAGGGAAATAGAATTTTTTTTAGATTAAACTTTTTTTAAAGGATTTAGTTTAAAAATACTTTAATTTCTTTTGAGACCATAAGAATTTACTTTTTTTTCTTTCTAAAACCAAGACAGAAAGTGCATTTCAACATACCGCTTGTAGCTAGACTGTCTATGGTATGAGGAGAGTAGTGTTCTATTATAAAGTATATGAAAACAATGGTGATTTTGCAAAATATGGATAGTATATGGATAGTATTATGTAAAATTAGAAAGAAAAAACCAGCAGACAATATAATTAGGTAGACAACTAGAACATTTATTTGTGCATTGAGACAAATACTTCACATTTGGTCTTCATACTTGAGCATTATATTAAATGCTGAAGGTAATAGAGGATAAACCTGAAACTTGTAGGGAATGATGCTATTTTGAGCTGGATGAGTGATAGCCACATTATTTATTTGTAAGTTTTCAAAAAAGTTCCATGAAAATTAGCATTCAGAAACTTCCTTTGGTAGGGTTGTGTAATATTGAAGAGATAATACACAATGAAGATCCTATTTCTAAACATATAAAAATGAATGCTTAAACTTTAGCAAAAGCAAATCCAAAGTAAATACTGATAATTTTCCAAAGTTAACCCTGTACAATAATACTGTGTTTTTATGCTATATTGTATGTCAAAATCCATCACAATATTTGTGTTTTTACTTAGATATTTTTCATAGCAAAACTCCAAGTATCAGTAGCACATACACAAATATTCATTATCAAATTCACTTGAATTCTTGCTGCACTGAAATAAATTATGTGTTAATACAAATGTTGTCTTCTAAAGATCTATACAATCATCATGGAAGTTGATATAAACCTAAGTTTCAAATGAAACCTTTAATTATTTTATGTGACATTTCTAAGAGGTGTGTATAAGTATGTTTATTACATGCTTAAAACTATATAGAAATGAGTTAGAGATAGTATATAAATGTGCTGGATCTCACTTCAGGCACCTCATAATATACTAATCTAATTGATGATTTTTTTAAAAAAGTATGGGTGATCGGAAACCCTCTTCCTCGCACTCTGGCTTCCAAGCAATATCCCAAGAATTTATGACAACTAGATGGAGGTGGTTAAAGCAAACAACACCTCTGGCACTGAAAACACTAAAAGTCAAGATCACAGCAGACACTAAAAGTCAAGATCACATATTTTCTGCTTCTGAATCACTACAGTAAAAGAGAAGTGTGTGTTTTGTATTAAAAAATGGTAAGGATCTAGGAACCTCCAGCAAATGTAATCAGGAAAGAACAAGACCTGCTTAGAAATGCATTGAAGATTAAATAATCTCTAGATTCCACCATCAAAAGAATTTTTGAAGGGGCCACTTAGTTCTTTGCCCCTATTTAAGATATCCTATTACTTAAGTCTAAATAACTACTCTGTCCCATATTAAAATAATTTTGTAATCCATCCCTCGAATTGCTTAGTCTCCCAACAGCAGACCTGTAAACAAAGAAGTGCTTTAACGCTGACATTATATAATTGCTAATTTACAAATGCAAAACATCTAAGACCTGCTCTCCCTAACAGCACACTAATCACTACTAATAAATAGATAAGGCTATTAGCTATGATCTACCCATATTTTATGAAATAAGAGAAATGCATGATTGGTATCTGAGTGCGCATGCCAACACTCTCCTTCATATGGACCACTCCTCCTTCCACAATTTAAGAGTTTGAATTTTTGGGTGCCTATACTATATTCAGAGGGGATGTGATGGCTCATCAGTTAAAGACACTGAGCTTGGGTTCAAGACCTGAGCTCAGTGCAATGGGATGAGCTCCCATTACTTGCCCCAACTCCTGCCCACCTAGCAGCTTGAAAAAATGCAAATGCAAGTAGATTAATAGGTACCAATTTGATGGGAAGATAACAGTGTTCCTTTTGCCTTTGGCATATAGCCATTCTGGCCACTTGACCATGGAAATTTCTATGCTGGTTCCCTCAGCCAAGAAACAGAGATGAGCACCGTGCTCTAGAGTCCAACATGACTGATGGGAAATCTTCACTTTTTACTACATTGAGATGAGTGGTATGTTGTATGTTTACATACACAAATGCAGTGATCTCGGACTTTCAGGAGAGGTATGATGAACTGAAGATGTTTCTATGAAGGAACTGACAATTGTGGAGCTGACTGAGGAAATAGCCTGTTTCTTTGGAATCTGTCTGAACAAGGAGGGAAAGGGAGTTTTAAAATGTGAAAAATAATAAAGTTAATGGTGGAAAATTGTCTACATGCACTCCGGACAACAGCTTCTCACAAAGAGACTGCAGGACAATACTTTTATGAAGGTTTCAACACCAGGAGATGAAGGGATCAGCCACCTTGTAATAACTGTGGCAGAACCTTTTAAAGAACATTAAGTTCTAAGATTTTCTAAGTCTCACTTTCTAATCAAAACTTGCCTGTTAACCATCTTAAAGCTTGTAGAGACCTTTAGAATGATGCATTTGGGTGAGTTTATCTTCAACTTTGAATAGATGAAAAATTAATTATATGCTTAAAAACTTAAAGAATTTGAAATGAACAGAAAAAAGTTAAATAAGATTTTGATCTAACAAAGTTATAAATAGATTAGGGGTCCAAGTTCCAGATAATAATACTTTATTTGCGGTCACACACCAAAACAAAACAAGAACATGGGAAAATTATTCATGAACAATTGGTCACCCAAAACTTGACTAAGGGGAATTATAGCGTACTCCTCTGATGGTTACAGCTCTTAAAAATTTTTTGGAAACCTAAGAAGTGATGTATGAGGAGCCATCCCCAAGACAATATAAGAACAAATTGCTAACATTGGGTCTAGAAGGGTCTGTTTCAAGGAGAGACAGAAACTTAGATCTGCCTGCGTTATACATAGGGCAATATAAAAGGACATGCTCCACAGTTTCAATCTCAGCTCTGTCACAGGGGCATAGCCGCTCGTTAATCAGGAGCCTCTTAAATCGCCCATCCAGTAGTGCTGAGGGCAAGACATTAAAGCGAGCTAGGGAGAAAGCTCTTCTATACTTGGGAATGGTTAGAGTGTAAAAATAGGAAGCCATCCTTAGTCCGTAATTATTAAATTGGCTGAAGATCAGAGGGGAGCAAGTTTTGTTAGCTCTGGATCGTAGATATTGCAAGTCAATGTCCACAAGCCATTGGACTACCCTAGATTGGGCGTCCGTAAGGCCATAATCTCCCAGGGCATCCCCCGTAAAACCTAGCAGGTGTAATTTCTTCATCAGCTCCCTCTCCCAATGAGAAATATGAGAGTCAGCAAACACCACGGAGAGGTAGCTACCAGGAACTGCCAGAAAGAGCACCCAAAACTACCATTTAAAGGTGTTAATCCACGCCATACATTTGACTGATCGAGTGCCCAGTTCCAAGTACATTGGAGCAAAACCAACATAAGGAGGAAGACCCAGAAGTTTTCTAAGAAAGACAGCCTGGGTTCTTTCAATACAATCCTTGAAGCCCTGTATCCATATGGGAATTCCATAAAGAGTTTGAGCCAAAGTTTTGGCTTTGTAAATACGCAGAGCAGAAGGAATAAAGTGGCCTCCTTGGGTATAAAAAAATCTTAAAATCTGCTGGTGACTACAGGAGGTCGAGTTCAGCACCTGGGTTCGATGTCGAGTCCAAGCACCAGTGTTCTGAAATTGAATATCTAAATACTTAAAATCGAAAACCTGCTTAATAGCATTTCCATTGATAGCCCAGTTATATAATTTCTGGGCTCTAGAGAACACCAATACTTTGGATTTGTCATAATTAATGGACAAGTGGTTCTCAGCACAGTAAGACTCAAATGCAGAAAGTAATCTTTTTAGACCTGGCCTTGACAATGAAAGGAGGGCCGCATCGTCAGCATAAAGGAGAAGCGGGATCTTCGTAGTTGACAACTTTGGGGCGTGGGACTCAATGCATCCAATGTGAAAGGCCAAGTCAGATAAGAATAAATTAAACAAAAGAGGAGCCAGAACACAACCCTGCCTTACTCCATTCTTAATCGGGATAGGATTTGAAAGTTCTCCCTGCAAACCACACCTGAACTGACTAGAGGTCTGGTTGTACAAGGATCTAATTAGGAACAGAAGACATCTTTCGATAGAACTTTTGAGCAGTTTTGACCACAACAGTCCCCTAGGGACTGAGTCAAACACTGACTTTAGGTCGATAAAAGCAGTAAAAAGTTTACCACCTGGTATGGTAGTATATTTATCGACCAGGTGCGCTAAGACAAAGCAGTGGTTCAGTGTGGCACAGCCCACTTTAAACCCAATCTGTTCAGGACCAATAATATTAGACTTCTCAACCCAAGTGAGGAGTCTACATTGGAGATATTTAGCATACAGTTTTCCAATGATGGAGAGCAGGCTTATGGGGTGATAGTTGGTTGGGTTGTTCCTATTTCCTTGTTTAAAAACTGGAACAATAATTGCTAAACTCCAGGAGGTAGGGATCCTGCCAGAGGTATTGATATGCGTAAAGAGTCTTGCTAAGAGAGGAATCCATGACTCGGGATTGGATTTTAGCAGATCAGGGGCTATAGCATCAGGGTCAGGGGCTTTGCCTGACTTGAGTTTGGAGATAAGCTCGGTAATCTCAGCATGAGTCACGGGTTGCCAGTCAGGAACTGCAGAGGCAGTTGTGGCTCAAGCAGTCAAACTTGTTGGTAACAGGAAAATTGCCAAGAAATGGTTTTCCCAATCTCTGTTGGAAATACAGCA